ACGGTGTCATTGTCATTGTCTTACCGTTTTATTGTTTTGCTTGATGTTTTATTATTTGCTTATGAGTTTATTGTGTATTGTATGTTGTTGATTGTTGGCGGCCTTGGCCTTTGTAAGCCGCATCGAGTCCTACGGGAGATTTTGCAGGCTTTAAATAATAATAATAATAATAATAATAATAATAATAATAATAATAATAATAATAATAATTAATAATAATAATAATAATAATAATAATAATAATAATAATAATAATAATGGGTTTGCCATTTCCATCTTTCAAAACATAGCCTACAGCACCTGGATTTTTTTATAGCCTCCCATCCAAGCCCTAAATAGTGCTGACTGTGCTTAAGGTCCAAGATCAGATTGAATCTGGTGCCTTTAGAGTATTTCGGGCACTAAAAGAGAATAATCTAAAAGTCAAACTTCTCATTAGATGCAAAGCAAATTAGACCTGGAAACAAAAAAGTGGTGAAGTGCACCCTCTGGTGGGAAACAGCTGCAATTGCATGGGGAAAGGAAAGCCGCTGCACTTAAAACGAATGATTACAATGCAGGCTACAATCTCATAGCAAGTGCCAGCTATCCAGATATACAAGGTGCATCTTCATTGTAGAATTAATGCAGTTTGGCACCACTTTGGCTGCATTCTTTCAATGTTATGAAATCATGGAAGTCGTAGTTTAGTGAGGCACTAGCACTCTTTGGCAGAAAAGGCTAAAGACCATGTAAGAACTGTAACTCCCAGATGTCTATAGCATTCAGCTATGACAGTTAAAATGGAATCAAAATGCATTAATTCTGCATGTACAAAGGTACTTAGCTCCCTTTGGGTTAAAAATAATTGGGAAAATGAACAGTTATTAAGGAAATTCCTATCCCTTTGTGTGCATTTTAAAGATTAGTTGTAAAATCTGGTTGCTGATTTCAAAATATCACCAGATATAAAATATAAGGAGGTCCATGGGATCTGAGCGCAGGGGTCCTGGCAGTGGGAGATCAGGGGAAGTCTAGCCCTCGGATAATATTGGTGGGTGGGGTAAGACATCACTCCATTACCAATAAATGTCTTATTTTATTCCTTAGTGGGATAGCATAATGGGTAATTGTTGTTTTTTTTAAGTACTAGAAGTACTTAGTACTTCTAGTACTTAGTCTCAATTGTCACCTTGCTTGCAGTGTCTAAGAATACAGACAGTGCCCAAGTTACGAAAAAGATAGGTTTTGTAGGTTTGTTGTTAAGTTGAATTTGTATGTGAGTCAGAATATGTACATTTTTAAGTGTAACCACGTGTGTGTGTGTGTGTGTATACAGACAGCAAAACAAACACCACTGGGGTGTTAACCCTTCCATATACTATCCATAACAAATGGAAGAGTTAACACCCCAGTGGTGTTTGTTTTGCTGTCTGTGCCTTTTCTCCATAATAATTCTTACAGGAGTGAATTTCCCTTCCTAGGGGTAGATTTCTCTCACTTCCTGTTGTCCCACACCTGTTCTTAACTATGAGTCATTTGTAAGTCAGATGTTTGTAGCTTAGGGACTACCTGTTCTTTTGCACTAGAACTCCCAAGTTTCCCCAAACAGCATAGCAACAAAACCTTCCCTTTTACATTTTATCTTCAAATCTCTAGATATTCTGAGTTGACTCTAGCTGTTACTTTTGAAGTCTGAAAACAAGGTGATTTGTTTCAAGAAGCAAATCAGAAACATAAGATAGAATCTCACTGGAGCAGCATACAAAGAGAAGACATTCCTCCTGATGTGCCAGCTCCACTGGTTGCCAGTCTGCGACCAAGCACAATTCAAAGTGCTGGCTGTAGCCTATAAAACCCTAAACGGTTCCAGCCCAGCTTATCTGTCCGAACATATCTCCCCCTATGAACCACTTCGGAGATTAAGATAATCTGGGGAGACCCTGCTTTCAGTCCTGCGTTCTTCGCAGGTGCGACTGGTGAGGATGAGAGACAGGGCCTTCTCAGTGGTGGCCCCTCGGCTGTGGAACTCCCTCCCCAGCGAAATTAGAGCAGCACCCCTGCTCTAGACAATGAATCATTGTCTGTTTGTAAACTGCCTTGAATCCCCTTCGAGGTTGAGAAAGGTGGGGTAGAAACAAAGTAAATCAATAAATCTCGCCTTACCTCCAGAAGCATACAAACAGCTTGGCCTCTCACTAAACATTGAGAAAACCAAAGTGCTCTACTAGCAGGCACCAACCAATCCCTCTGAAATGCTAGAAGTAAAGCTGAATGATGTTATGCTAGAAAATGCTGTCCATTTCTGCTACTTTGGTAGCCACTTCTCCACAAAAGTCAAAATTGACTTCAAAATGCAGCACCATCTGAGCTCTGTGAGTGCAGCATTCTTTTGAATGAAGCAGAGAGTGTTTGAAAATCCAGCTATTCACAGGGATACCAAGATGTATTGTCCTTCCAACTCTGTTGTACACCTGCAAATATGGAACATCTACAAACGTCATTCTCAACTTCTGGAACAAATCCATCAGCATTGGATCCTGTAAATCTCTTAGGACAGTGGTTCTCAACCTGCGAGTCCCTAGGTGTTTTGGCCTACAACTCCCAGAAATCCCAGCCAGTTTACCAGCTGTTAGGATTTCTGGGAGTTGAAAGAAACATCTGGGGACCCACAGGTTGAGAACCACTGTCTTGGGAAGAAAGTTGGAAAAATGTCAGCATTCTGGAAGAAGCAAAGACCACCAGCATTGAAGAGATGATTCTCCGCCACCCACTTCACTGGACTGGCCATGCTGTCCAGATGCCCGATAATCATCCCCCAAAGCAGTACTTTGCTCTAAGTTCGAGAACAAAAAACACTGTTGATAGACAAAAAAAGAGATTTAAAGATGAGCTTCAATCTAGACTTTTAAAATGTGAAATAAACACTGAGAACTGGGAAGCCCTGGCCTTCAAGCATTGTCAGTGGAGGTCAGCTCTTATCAACAGTGCGATGGATTTTGAAGAGACGTGAAAAGGGGGAAATGTGTCAAGAGGAAGGCATTTTGTTGGGGCTGCCTTCCTTCTGGAAATGCATGTCCTCACTGTAAAAGACCATGAGGATCCAGAATAGGTCTCTACAATCACTTATGAACCCACAACAAGACTTCACCCTTGAAAGACAATCATACTCAACCACGAGGGATCACCTATGATGATGACCTCCAGAAATGATAAGAGCAATGATTCACCAGATCTCAAGGATCTCCCGTCAGCGATCAGAGATAACAAAAAACACCTCCTGGTAGCTTAGATGAGAGAATATCATTAGCCAGGAAGAACTCCATGAGGAGTACTTCCGATATATTGTATTCTCAATGAGCAGGGCTTGGGAAAGTTCCAGTTTCCATCACCAGCTTCTCTGACCAAGCTGACTGAGAAATTCTGGGCGTTGTAGGTAAAAAAGAAAAATGAAACCATGGCAAAATCTGTCAACAGCTATTATCAGAAATGCAGGAGGAAGAACATTCAGTACCAGCTAGCCTCCAGATGTGATTCACGCTGCTAAGCACTGAAACTGTTTTAGTAGAACAGTTTACAAAAAGATGTGTAATGCCAATACAACTATGTAGCATTGGATTTCAAGACAACTTCCTCACCTTCCAAGCAGAAGGACCGCCAAGTGCTATTCTTGACCCTTGGAGCATCTTCAAAGGGTTGCATACAAGGACAAATCATTTTCGCCATTTTATCTCTGCTTTAGAATAAAATGGGGGGCCCAGATGGCACAGTGGGTTAAACTATTGTTGACCGAATGGCCACAGGTTCGAATCCAGGGAGCAGCATGAGCTTCTGCTAACAGCCCCAGCTTCTGCCAACCTTGCAGTTCGAAAACATGCAAATGTGAATAGATCAATAGGTACCGCTCCGATGGGAAGGTAATGGTGCTCCATGCAGTAATGCTGGCCACATGACCTTGGTGGTGTCTATGGACAATGCCAGCTCTTTGGCTTAGAAATGGAAGTGAGCACCACCCCGCAGAGTCGGATACCACTGGACTTAATGTCAGGGGAAAACATTTACCTTTAGCTATCAGAAAAAATAATTTTTCTATGTAGTGCTCACACAGCAGGATGGATTTCAGGAAAATAGACTGGCTTTCTTTAGATATGTTGGATTACAAGTCCCATCAACCACAACCCAAAGATGTATTATTTCCTGGAAGTTATTTATATCCCATTCCTGTCATTCTTTGACTGGATTCATCTCTAGGATTCTCTAGGTTCTCCAGCATGACTTCTGACAAAAGTTGAGTGAAGAATTGCACTAGAGGACCTAGAAATGTCTAGATGGAACATTTTAATCTAATCCAGAAATAATAAACTCGACTGGGCCGACTGAATTTCTGAGTGACCGGCTGAAATTTTAACTTTCTGTAATGCTAAAAACTTTGAGACTGAAGGAAAACTTCATGAGGAAGCAGAATTCATATTTGAGGCAATGCGTTCATTTACTTTTCTGATGCAACCCACGAGTTAGACTTGTCAGCAAACAAAGACCAGAAATGGCTCTAATTGTGGGATTCTTCTGTACAGCTCTCCATAGGATATAGATGCTAGGATGATTAGAACTAGGATCTTGGACTGGTTGAACTCCATTATCTTACAGGGTTATTGTGAGAATCAAAGTAGGTATGGGAGCCATATTTTGCAAGCTTGAGAATGATAACAAACTTTGGTTTAGAAAGTCTGGAGGAAAGGTATTATATAAATTAAATTAAATACATTGGAGAAAAGGTATTATATAAATTAAATACAGTAAACAGACCGATAGACAGGCAGGTATGGTCAGACTCATCTCAATACCTGCTGAGAGGGCATGCAAGTTACTTGAGACACAGAAATGAGAGAAGCAGGCTAGCACTTCAACCATAAAACAAAAATACTGCCTTCCAGATGTTTAGGACTAAAACTGCTATCAGCTCTAGCAGCATTACCAGTAGTCAGGAGCAATAGAAACTATAATGGTTTTTTTAAAAAACAAAACAAAAACAATGTGGGCGGTACCATGTTGGGGAAGGCTGAGGCAGACTATCCAGCCCAGTAGTCATTTATGCTCCCAGAATCCCCCAGCAAACGCACACTTTTGCCTGGAGCAATTGGAAAAATATGGTCCCAAAAGACCAACGGTTATGGATCACAGCAAAGCAGAAAGCCCAAAAGTCCATATGAAAATAATTTAACTACCCCTCCCACCCCTCACCCACCCTACTTCTCTGGTTCATTTCTCCTGTGGGTCAAAAGGACCTTCCGACTCATTCCAGTTCTTCTCCTGGTTCTTCTTCCGGTTCCTTTCTGCCATTACGATGGCAGCAATCACTGTCACGAGGACCGTGACAGTGATCACAAGGACAGTGGCTGTCTCTGCCACACACAACTGGTTGTCCACCGAAATGAGGAGGGAACCAGCAAGTTGCCAGGGGCTAGCACAAGTGATATTCTCATAGTCATCCACATGGAGATGTCGGACGCTCATGATCTTGCCAAATACCCGCTGGAGGTCACAGTCGCAGGCCCACTGGTTGCCTGCAAGCTGGATGTGGGTGCTGATGGTCTGGATATTCAGAAAAGTCTTGAATTTGAGGTGGATGAGCTGGTTGCCTGTCAATCCCAGAAGATTCATATTGTGCAATGAGGTGAATGCCTGCACCTCAATAGAACTGATGTTGTTGTTGCTAAGCAAAAGGACTTCCAGGTTTTGGAGCATGAAAAAGAAGCCATTGTGGACCACCGCAAGTCGGTTGGACTGGAGGTAGAGGTGGCGGAGTCTGGACAGGCCTCGGAAAGTCCCCCTCTCAATGGACGTCACTCGATTGTAGCTGAGATCCAACTTCTCCAAGTTCTCCAGAAACTGAAGGCTTTCGAAACCCAAAGCTACCAAATAATTGTGAGCCACTTTGAGGTCCTTGAGGGACGTCAAGTCATCTGAGAAGTCATGTGGCAGGCGGGCAAGTCGATTGTGGCTGAGGTCCATCTTCTCTAGGAAGTTCAGGGACTTGAAGGCTCTGGGCCAAATGCGGGTGAGAGAATTGTGGGACAGGAGGAGGATCTTCATGGACCACAGAGCGTCGAAGCAGCCTCCCTCAAGACCACTCAAGTTGTTGTGCCTCAGGTCCAACATCCATGTGTTATGTGGGATAGCATGGGGAATGTGGGACAGATGCCGACCATGGCAGTCCACAAAACTGGAGGATTCATAGCAGAAGCATCCCTGGGGGCAGGCCTTGGAAGCGTGGGTTGCAAGAACCGGCAAGAAAAAGAGAACTAGCGCACACAAGGATGCCGACGACATATCCCTTGGGCCCTGATGCTGAGAGGAGATGACTTTTGCTACGCGCTTGCAGACTCCTGAGAGCAAACTGGTCAGGAGGGAACCGAGATCACAGTGCTAGCGTTCCTCAGAAGAGATCGTTGTCAGCTCCTGGGGATAAGAGAAGAGAGAGTCAGATTTCTTCAAAGGAACCGGCTAACAAAGAGGTTTTTGTCAAGTGATTAGCTAAGAGCTTCCTTGGACTTCAGCCTTGGGAGGACAACAGGAAGCTTGCGTGAACAAGAGAGAAGAGGAAACAGATCGGACAGAGGAGCCCATAGCTGGAGTGGAGGAACAGAAGCTTCACTTTTGGCATGAAGTAACGATCCTAGCCTCTCTTTTTCTCTAAACTTTCATCTTCCAGTTAACAAGACACAAAGCTTTGGCTTTAGCCATTGCTGTTCTGAAGAGAAAGGCTAAATAATAAAGAAGGCAGCATTAAACAGCGGAACTCACTGCCAAAAGTTGTAATTACTGCTACATCCTCGGGTGGCTTTAAAAGTGAATTGGGAAGATTCATGGAGCCATAGTGGATGTCATATCATCCCCAGTATCAGAGCAGGTATTTATTTATTGTTTATTTAAAACATTTGTATTCTTTCCTTCTCACCCCGAAGGGGACTCAGGGTGGAGCACAGCATATATACGGCAAGCATTCAATGCCAGGGCACGAATTCATGTATGCATACAAAAACATTAAAAACATTTAACTCAATATTAAAATACACAATTTAAAACTGTCTTGGTCATCTACGTCAAATCTAATTGGCCTGGAAATCTTTCCTATTGCTGCTTTATTGCCCTGTCCTGAAAGCTTGGTCCCACAGCCAAGTTTTGACCATCTTTCTGAAGGACAGGAGGGAGGGAGCCAATCTGATCTCACCAAGAAGGGAATTCCGTAGCCGGGGGGAAATCACTGAGAAGACCCTGTCTCTCATCCCTACCTATCACACCTGTGACAATGGCGGGAAGGAAAGCAGGGCCTCCATGGAGGATCTTAATCTCCATGATGGTTCATAGAGGGAGATTCGTTTGGGCAGGTAAATTGGGCCGGGACCGTTTAGGGTTTTATAGGCCAAAGCCAGCACTTTGAATTGTGCCTGGTAGCAAACTGCCAGCCAATGGAAGTGGCGTAACATGGGAGTTGTATGCTCCCTGTATGCCGCCCCAGTTATTAACCTGGCTGTCCCTCGTTAGACTATTTGAAGCTTCCGAGCAGTCTTCAAAGACAACCCCATGTAGAGTGAGTTGCAGTAGTCTATCCTAGATGTAACGAGAGCATGGATCACCGTGGCCAAGTCTGAATTCCCAAGGTACGGGCACAGCTGGCGCACAAGTTTTAATTGTGCGAAAGCTCCCCTGGCCACCGCTGCAACCTGGGATTCCAGGCTCAGTGATGAATCCAGGAGAACTCCCAAACTGCAAACCTATGCCTTCAAGGGGAGTACACCCCTATATCCCATGCCAAAGAGCATGGGATGAAGGGTGCTCTTGGAGTCTGTGAATTCCTTTTTTAAACTTTTTGCTATTTCAACATATTCAGTGTTTAAACATTCTTATACTGATCACTTCCCCTTAACATATTGTACAGAACATATATGTCTTAATGCCTATAATATTCATCCTCCCACTTCATTACATATTGTCCAGTCGCCCAGTGCTGACCCTTCACCCCAGACCAGCCAATTGCAATACTTATTTCCAAAAATCAGTTGTTTCTCTTACAGGTTTGTTCCCCTTACCTTCTATATATACATATTCTATTAATTTCCCCCAAATCTTCCCAAAATCATCTTTTTTTTTATAATCCTCTTTTAACCTTTATGTTTCCTGTCAGTTTATTAACAATCTTGCTGCTGTTACCAGATTGGCAATTAATTATTTTAGTTCTTTTGGTATTTTGACATTATCAATGAACGACAGCAATGCTATCTCCGGTGTTCCTGTTATCTCTGTTTGGGTGATTCTTCTTATTTCTTGAAATACATTTTCCCAAAATTTTGAACATATTTACAAGACCACCACATGTGTATATATGTACGTTTCTTGACAGCCCCTCCAGCACTGCTTAGAATGTTTATTATCGATTTGATTTAATTTGATTGGTGTGAGATCAGATTCCAAGCAGTCTTCAAAGGCATTTCCACACCACTTTGTAATAATTCTCTTTTATTCTTATTGACATATTTTAATATACGCATATTCCACATTCCTTTCCAGTTTTGAGGGTATATTACTTTACTAGCTGTCCCCTGCCATGCGTTGCTGTGGCCCAGTCTGTATATATGTGTTTTGTGTGTGTGTGTGTGTATTTGTGTGTGTGTGTATTTGTGTATATGTGTATGCGTTAATATGTAATTTTTTTGGGGGGGTGGCTTTTAAAGCCCCTTCCATTGTGTTTTCCAGTGTTTTTATGAGTGATTGTCACTCATTGGCCTGAAAAGTGTATTGTGTCCAAATTTGGTGTCAATTCATCCAGTCGTTTTTGAGTTATGTTAATCCCACAAATGAACATTGCATTTTTATTCACCGTATATAGACTAGCCATCCCCTGCCATGCGTTGCTGTGGCCCACATGGGAGGTGGGCACAGCACCCACCTCCCTGTGTGGGAGGTTGGCCCAATTCTATCGTTGGTGGGGTTCAGAATGCTCTGTGATTGTAGGTGAACTATAAATCTATGATTCTAAATAGTGTGTAAAGATAAAAATAAAGGTTTCCCTTTAACATCAAGTCTAGTCATGTCCGACTTGGGGGGGGGGGGTGCTCATCTCAATTTCTAAGCCGAAGAGCCAGCGATGTCCATAGACACCTCCAAGGTCATGTGGCCAGCATGACTGCATGGAGCACTGTTACCTTCCCGCCAGAGCAGTACCTATTAATCTACTCACATTTGCATGTTTTCGAACTGCTAAGTTGGCAGAAGCTGGGGCTAACAGCGGGAGTTCACCCTGCTCCTCAGATTCGAACTGCCAACCTTTCAGTCAGCAAGTTCAGCAGCTCAGTGGTTTAACCTGGTGTGCTACCAGGAACTCCATAAAAGGTGTGTAGGTTACCTTATTTTTCTGTCTGTGATTGTGTCCTTGGGTATTGTTCTGGGAGCCTTGGTCCAGAGAGGGGGGCAAAAAGAGCTTGGAAAAAGTTCATATTTTTTACTTTACATGTACCAGAATCCAGCAGGGAATTGTGGAAGCTGTAATTTCCCAAAAGAAAGGAGGTTTTCAAACAGTGGTTGAAATGAAATGCAACTATCAACACCGTCAGGCAAGAGTCCCAAAAGGGAGCTAAATTCAGCCCATGCTTATTGAAGCGAACAGTTACTGGCATCAGCTGAAGGAGACGCTGGTTGACCTTCCTGCACCTTTCTTGCTTCCTGCGGCTGCAGAAGCCATACATATGCAGGGATTATGGCCTGTAGAGGCAAAAGCCGATCAGCTGTTGACTCAAACCTTCTAGCTCTAGCTTGTTTTCACATCTGGGATGCTATTAATCCTGAAGAGGAGGACAGCTGAGAAGGGCAAGGAGAGACCCAACGGATGCTCTTGATCTCTGACAGGGAAGGTATAAAATGAGGTCAATCTTGTATAACAGGAATTGTATAAAAAAGTTCACAAGCTTGAGAAGTGTTATTATTTTTAGATTAAACACTCAAATCCTCTAGCCAAGGAATGTGGGGACTGGAGGATTCTGGGACACATAGTCCAAAATGTGACTTTCCTGATCTCTAATTCAAATGATGCTTACTTATGAGGTTGTCCTCTAAGGAAATGAACAACATCAGGAAGGAAAGCTAAACCTCCAAAGAGGGATACAACCCTGAGATAAAGGAAGCAACCTCTCCATTGTCGTCGATGTTGTAAATTTTCATTTTGTTTTCGGTTTATGGCACTGTTTCTCAACCTGGGGGTCAAGACCCCTGGGGGGGGTCAGGAGGGGGAGGTGTCAGAGGTGTCACCAAAGACCATCAGGAAACACAGTATTTTCTGTTGGTCATGTAGATTCTGTTTGAGAAGTTTGACCCAATTCTATCGCCAATAGGGTTCAGAATGCTCTTTGATTGTAGGTGAACTATAAATCTTAGCAACTACAACTCCCAAATGTCAAGTCTATTTTTCCCGAACTCCACCAGTGTTCACATTCGGGCATATTGAGTTTGGTCCAGATCCATCATTGCTTGAGTTCACAGTGCTCTGTGGATGTAGGTGAACTACAACTCCAAAACTCAAGATCAGTGCCCACCAAACCCAGTATTTTCTGTTGGTCATGGGAGTTCTGTGTGCCAAATTTGGTTCAATTCCATCATTGGTGGAGTTCAGAATGGTCTTTGATTGTGGGTGAACTATAAATCCCAGCAACTACAACTCCCAAATGACAAAATCAATCCCCCCCCCCCAAACCCACCAGTATTCGAATTTGGGAGTTATCAGGAATTTGAGCCAAATTTGACCCAGTAAATGAAAATGCATCATGCGTATCAGATATTTACATTGTGATGCATAATAGTAGCAGCATTACAGTTATGAAGTAGCAACTAAAATAATGTTATGGTTGGAGTCACCATAACATGAGGGACTATATTAAGGGGTCACAGAATTAGGAAGTTTGAGAAACACTGGTTTATGGCATATGTATCATGGGGATTTCTTGACAAGATTTGCTCAGAGGACTTGCCATTGCCTTCCTACGTGGGTGAGATTAGTATACAACATTTAAAGGTTTGGGAGCTTCTTGAGTTTGCAGTGGGAGATCTAAACTGTCACTTACTGGTATATTCTTTTAGATTTATACTCGGAAGTAATCTACTGGCTTTTATTTATATTCAATATTTTGCATTTAACAGCTGGTCCTTGGGATTAATTTGAAGAGGGGACACTAATCACAGGGCGGCTAAAGCCACTTGTTCGTTCTCCCAAATTTAGGTCACTTAACACTTTTAATTCTAAAAATTCCTCTTCGAGTTTTGTAACACAACAGGAAATATGCCAGGGTCACAGATCAGGCTCTGCTACGAGCTTAGAGAAGGGGTCGGAAGCACCACAGTATTAAAATCAAATACCAAGGCAAGATGCTACTCAGTCAAAGTGGAAGACATCAAATTGAAAATCCCCTTGATTTCAATGAGAGTTACCCCAACAACATGAGGATAGGATTGCAAAACTAATATGATATCTGAGTTATTAGGCTCAAAATAACCCTCACTTGGGGTGATTCCACAACAAATATATGTAGCAGAGTGCCAGAAGCATAGCAGAAACTTAGGTGTGGTGAGATAGGATTAGCTTTCATTCAAGAGGATGAATTGGGATGGCAGAATCAAACTAGGTTCCAAAAATATATTTATTAAAGTAAAAAGAAATCCATTCTAGATAGAAAAAGTCCTGGAGCTAATTAGCTTACTAAACTATCTCCTAAGGAAGGTAAAAGGATAAAATTACAAAAGATTCCATGCAGCTACATTTTGTCTGGAGAATGACAAAATATGTCCTCACTGGAAAGAAGACAAAGGCAGAAGAGGAAAGGCCAAAATAGAGAATGACCACATGGCCAAACTCAGGATAATAAAAATACCTTTAAAGAGGAAGTTAGCTCATCTCTCACAGGGATTACATTGCTACATCTTCAAAGTGGGGAGAAGATTGTGGCAAGAGAAGAAGGAGAGAAAAGACAGAGCCCCTACTAGGATAAGCATGTATAGGAATGTGGGGAAGGAATCCCTCACTCTTATTCTATCTAGCCTAGCAATTCATTGAGGACTGGAGACTTGTGCAGTCAGGGATGAAACCCAACGAAATTTAAATCTCATTGAAATGATGCTTAACTGTGAATTGACCATGCCAATTAAGAGGCACATAATACTCTATGAAAAATATTAGAGTTATAGAGGTAAATTTTGAATACAGATATTCAACATGGCAACCATCCCACAAGGAGAATCCAAAAACACAAAAGGCTGCTTTTGTCCCATATCCACACATGATGTTCATCTTCATCAGGCGCACAAGAGAGCCTAACAATGCCTAGATAAGCATTCACTCTACACTCCCAGCACAATTCTATGATCCCTTTCCATTGGAATTTCCACCACTGAATTACACTGGAGGCCTAGGGAGAACACTTCTCTAGGCATCACTGTGTTCTCCTGCAAAATTCGATAGTATCTTTCAGCCAGAAACCCCAAAATATCACGTTCATTTCAGAGTTCCAGATTATACATGAAGATGTTATTCTACAAAGGATCCTAGAACTGATTGTGTAATATGCAGACCTACTGTATATTCATTCCTCTTGAAAGTAACTCCTCAAACCAAGACTATTAAGTTCCAAGTCACACAATAAATAATGGCTGATAGCTCCAAAGTCAATGCAGTGTATGCTTTGGTCTAAATTTCAATGGAGCTATCCAAGGTGCTGAATTTATCATGGGAATTAGGGGAACCAGTGAAAAACTAGATTGTAATTCTACGCTGTAGAATTAATGCAGTTTGACACCAACTTAACATCCATGGCTAAATGCGAGAGTTGTAGTCCTACAAGGTCTTTAGCCTTCTTTGCCAAGGAGAGCTGGTATCCCATCACACTCCAAATTCCATGATTCAATAGTATTCTGCCAGTTAAAGTGGTCTCGAATGGCAACTGGAAGCTCTGGTGTAACTTGAACAGTAAATCCAGTCCAGTTTTTCATCCAGACATAAGCTACAGTCCAAAGTTGTTACTCCTATGTGTCTTTAACTCAACTCTGACTTACTATGACCCTATCATATGGTTTTCTTGAAGATGTTTCAAAATAAAATTTGCTATTACCTTCCTCTAAAACTGGGAGAACATGGCTTACTCTATGTCAGTGATTCTCAAACTACCTAATGCCGCGACCCCTTAATACAGTTCCTCAGGTTAGGGTGACCCCCAACCATAACATTATTTTGTTGCTACTTTATAACTGTAATTTTGCTACTGTTATGAATCATAATGTAAATATCTGATATACAGGATGTATTTTCATTCACTGGACCAAATTTGCCACAAATACCCAATACGCCCAAATTTGAATACTGGTGGGGTTGGGAGAGGATTTATTTTGTCATTTGGGAGTTGTAGTTGCTGAGATGTATAGTTAATCTACAATCAAAGAGCATTCTGGGCTCCACCAACAATGGAATTGAACCACGTGTGGCACACATTTGGCACCCATGATCAAGAGAAAATACTGGAAGATTTTGGTGGGCATTAACGTTGAGTCAATGCCCACCTACATCCAGAGAGCACTGTGGACTCAAACAATGATGTGTCTGGACCAAACTTGACATGAATACTCAATATGTTCAAATGTGAACACTGGTGGAATTCGAGAAAAATAGACCTTGACATTTAGGAGTTATAATTGCTGGGATTTATAGTTCACCTACACTCAAAGAGCACTCTTAACCCAGCCAAAAATGGATCTGCACCAAACTTGGCACACTACCTACATGGCCAATATTGAATACTGGTGGGGTTGGTGAGGGGGTGTTTTTGAATTCTGGGAGTTGCAGAACACCAAAAGTTCACAAACACCAAAAAGGAAGAGAAGGACAGGTGGAGAGATCATCAGCCTTCTTAGCCAAAGGGGTTCCTAAGACCATCAAAAATATGTGTTTTCTGATGGTCTTTGGCAAGACCCCACCTCATGACCCCCCCCCCAGGGGTCCCAACACTGCTCTATGTGCTATTGAAAATAATCCAGTTCCCAAGGAGTAGTGCAGCTGTACACGAAGAAGACTTTCCTTTTGCATCTACATGACATTCTTCAGAAATGAATTTATTCCTTTCAGCCTTGGATCCCTGCCTGATGTCTATGTGGTTGACTCCACTGCTATACCAACACATTCTGCAAAATGTTAACAAAAGCAGGCAAGAGACTTGTGGCACTGTGGCAGCATAAGAATTGACTTTTTTGGAGTACAGAGTGCTACTCAAAACATCAGTTCTTTGACAATTGAGTATCCAGAGCTTTTGGCTGACAATCAACTGCAAGCTTCCAGGAAAGGAAAGCATAGTTGTAACCAATGGGTACAAATACGGTACACATTCTTGGTACACAAATTCCCTACATCAGAGAACCTGAGAAGCACAGGGCTATAACCCAGATGCATGCCTTTAAGGTGTCACAAGAAGTTTTGTTCTTTTGACTGAAAACAATATTAACACAATGTATTGTCGAAGGCTTTCATGGCCAGAATCACTGGGTTGGTGTAAGTTTTTCAGGCTGTATGGCCATGTTCCAGAAGCATTCTCTCCTGATGTTTTGCCTGCATCTATGGCAGGCATCCTCAGAGGTTGTGACCCCAACAACCCAAATTTAACACAAGATTCTTCCTCTCCTACCAATTACAAATTGCTAGAATTGTACATTTGGTAATTTCAAAAAACAATGAGGGACCCATGTCCTTTAGTGCCTGCTGTTTCAATAAACAACATACACAGTATGCACGCCACTCTAATTTCACAATTGCAGATATTTCACCACACATCCTCTTTTTCACCCCACCCCACACAGGTGCCCAAAAGCTTCCAGCCATACCTTCTGCACTGGGTTGTGATCCCAGCAGGAAGTTCTCTCTTCTTTCACCCATTTTCCTGCACTGATCAGGTCTTCTTCTCTATCATTCAGTTGCTGATGAGTCTTTCCCAAAGGACTGGATTGCTTTCAGAGGCTGAATAAACACAGTCGAGCTCTAATCTCAGTTTGGGATTATACGGGTTAGCTGTCTGGCCCGTTGCCACCCTAACAAGTAAACTGGCCTGATAGAAACTACTTTCTCATCCTAAGCATTGCAGCTTAAAGGGACGGAGGGGTGAAAGGGAGGGAAGAAGGAAGGAAAGAAGGAAGGAAGGAAGGAAGGAAGGAAGGAAGGAAGGAAGGAAGGAAGGAAGGAAGGAAGGAAGGAAGGAAGGAAGGAAGGAAGGAAGGAAGGAAGGTGCTGCTTCCATAAACACAGTTTTCCAAAAAGTAGTTCTATTTTGGAGCAGCTCAGCTTTGAATTAGCATTTAAGACCCACTAGTTTTGCAAAACGTCCATTTCCTTGGAGGTACAAATGGCTGGAAGTGGTTTGTTTATAGCAGTGGTCCCCAACCTTTTTTTGACCAGGGACCACTTTGACCAGGGACCACTTTCCAACATTAGTACCAAAAGGGTTACAAATCAGTTTTTGGTCAACTTTCGATTCGGTTTGGTTATTTGGGTTGTGCTGATTCAAAAAATGACATTGGATAAGCCACATCAGCTCTAGTTTCTGATAGAGAACATATGCCATCCAGTAGTCGCCATCTGCTCGCCCACAGAAAACCATATTTAATAAGCCTTGGAACTATAAGAGGGTTTCTCAAGACCAGTTGCTCTCGTTGCAATGGTGTAATAATAGTGAGGCCGCAGACCATATTTTAGTTCTTACAGGCCACTGGTGGTCCACGGACCACAGGTTGGGAACCACTGACTTAAAGAGATCAGTACAACTACCTGTATTTTTAACTCAGTGGCTAGCTATAGGTATTGGTATTCATTTTTAGGTTGGCAAAACATGTCCATATTCTCCACTCTGCACTGCCAACATGCAGCAATTTTGCCAGTTCTAGCTCATTTCTAGAAGGAAGGAAAAATAGTAGTCAAGAGGGGCAGGTGGAAGGCTTTAGCAGGCCAAGGAATAGGCAACCAGAAGTAGGAGCCAAGATGTGAAGGCAAGGCAGCCAAACCATAAACTAGTGGGTCACCAGGATGAATTGTGGAAAGCTGCACACTGCAGAAAGAAAAAAGAAATGCTCCCTAGCCATTTGGACAATTTAAAATGAAATGGAAAGAAGTGCTATAAAGAACAATCCTCTTACTGGAATACTGTGTTCAATTTAAGGGTCTGGAGAACAAGCCCCATGAGGAGCAGCTTAAAGAGCTGGGCATGTTTAGCCTGAAGAAGAGAAGGTTAAGAGGTGACATGATAGTGATGTATAAATATGTGAGGGGAAGTTACAGGGAGGAGGGAGCAAGCATGTTTTCACCTGCCCTGCAGCTTAGGATGTAGAAGAATGGTTTCAAACTACAGGAAAGAAGATTTCACCTGAACATTAGGAAAAACTTTCTGAGTGTGAGAGCTGTTCAGCAGTGGAACTCTCTGCCCTGGAGTGTGGTGGAGGCTGCTTCTTTGGAGGCTTTTAAGCAGATGCTGGATGGCCATCTGTCAGGGCTGCTTTGAATGCGATTTTCCTGCTTCTTGGCAGGAAGTTGGACTGGATGGCCCACGAGGTCGCTTCCAACTCAATGATTCTATGATTCTATGAATACAGATACAAAAATGTCACTCATCTGGTTTTTCCTCTCTTGATGAGTACTTGCATATCAAAAGTCCCTTCTCCTTCATTATGAAAGTGCAAATAGTATAATTAAAGAAAAGAACAGAAAAGAACAACCACTCCCATTTTCCTATTCTACTTTAAGGGGAGGGGGGTCTTTGAAGATATAGTTTGATATGATCCTGCAGGTTTACAAAATATTCCAATCCAGGTATGCAAGAAAAAATCCCCCCTTGTATATATTGCATATGCACACTTTCTACGGGCAGGATTCTTCTTTTTAAGATAAGCTAGAAACTTTTTATCCAGGCAGCCTTTTAAAGAAGGAAGTTTTTAAGATTAAGTCAGGGAATGTGGTGGTTTTAGCTTTGAATATGTTTTAAATCAGTTTTTATGGCTTTTAACTGTGATTTTTTAAAAAAAATATAATAATAATAATAATAATAATAATAATAATGCATAATCCAGTAAAGGGGTCCCAATGGATCAGCACACTGGGTGCAGTGCCTAAAGACCTTGGCCTGCACTTAAAAACAATTGACACTGACAAAATTACCATCTGTCAGCTGCAAAAGGCCACCTTACTGGGATCTTACTGGGATCTGCATGCATTATTTGTCTATACATCACACAGTCCTAGACACTTGGGAAGTGTCCAGCATGTGATCAAATACAAAAGCCAGCATAGTGATCTTGTTTGTTGTGTACTAATCTGTGTACTAACACAACAAACAAAATCGCTATGCTGGCTTTTGTATTTGATTGCACAGGTCAGACACATCCCAAGTGTCTAGGACTGTGTGATATATCGGAGAATCTTGTTGTGAGGAGCCCCTGGTGGCGCAGTGAGTTAAACCACTGAGCTGCTGAACTTGCTGACCGAAAGGTTGACGGTTCGAATGTGGGGAGCAGGGTGAGCTCCCACTGTTAGCCCCAGCTTCTGCCTCCCTATCAGTTTGGAAATATTCAAATGTGAGTAGATTAATAGGTACTGCTTCTGCGGGAAGGTAACAGCACTCCATGCAGTCATGCTGGCCACATGACATTGTAGGTGTCTTTGAACAACGCTGGCTCTTTGGCTTAGAAATGGAGATGAGTCCCACTCCCCAGAGTCGGACACGACTAAACTTGATGTCAGGGGAAACCTTTACTTTTTAATCTTGTTGTGTATCTAATAATACAAATAATACATACATACATATAGTGTGGAAGGGAAACTGTCTATCTCTCAGTCAAATTCCTCTTCTAGATGCAGAGTATTCCTGTTTTATAATTGATGAAGCTACCGCTCACTACAAGGGAAAGCATCACGTTTCAGTCATTCAACACCTGAGTCCCCATTCCAAGCAGGTAAAACCATCCCCAAGACATCTCGTCTATTATTAATGGTCCCTTCTTGTGCCAGCTGAGCATGGTTTTGTTCATTTAAGAAATACAAAGGTGGGCATCTTTGGATTGACAGATAACTTTATATGCCAGAAAAGACTGCTCTTTCAGTGACAGAATACCACGCCTTCACAGAAAATTGGGGATTAGAGTGGAAAACAACGTCTTAAAAGTGGGATCTTAAACAAATTCATATAGCAGCTCTTCCAATCCTATAATTTGACTTATAGCAGGGGCAGGAATATATGAGCTGCTAAAGGGCTATGCTAGTTTTTTTATATATCAAACAGGCCTGGGAAAAATCACTTTTTGAAACTCCAATGAAGTGCTGCCAGTCCTTGTAACAGGAATTAAGTATGTCCCTCCAGATATGGCATTGAAGTGATGCTCCTACGCCATTAACTCCGCTGGACCGGTCAAAATGTCCGAATGCCCCATCACTGTCTCCCAATACTCCTAACTCAAAAACAGGAAATGTAATGTTGGTGGACAAGAAAAGATGTTTATAGATGGGCTTAAGGCCAACATTAAAAACTATGGCATAGACACCAAGAACTGGGAAGCCCTGGCCTTTGAGCGTTCTAACTGGAGGTCAGCTGTGTCCAGCAGTGCTGCAAAATTTGAAAAGGCATGAATAGAGGGCAAAAGGGAGAAACATGCCAAGAGGAAGGCACATCAAGCCAACCCTGACCGGGACCACCTTCCACCTGGAAACCAATGTCCTTACTGCGGGAGAACATGCGGATCAAGAATAAGGCTCCACAGCCATCTACGGACTCACCGCCAAGACACTAGACTTGGAAGATCATCATCCTTGTACACTGAGGGATCATGTAAGTAAGTAAGGTTGGACAGCAGCTCCTGAAATTCCTCACCATTAACTGTGTTGATTACTAGGGCTAATGAGAGCTGTAGTTCAACAATACCTGTCCAGACACATCTCCCCCTATGAACCAGAATGGATGTTAAGATCTTCTGTGCAGGCCCTGCTCTCGGTCCCATCTCCTAGACAGGTGCAGCTGGTGGGAATGAGAAACAGGGCCTTCTCAGTGGTGGCCCTTTGACTGTGGATCTCCCTTCCTAGTGATGTGAGATCAGCCTCCTCCCTCCTGGCATTTAGAAAATAAGTAAAATCCTGGCTTTGGAACGAGGTGTTCGGAGACTAGCTACAATGCAATAGACAGCTGGGAATCAATGTGACTGTAACTGGAATGGCTCTTGGACTCTGATTACAGATGATGTGGTTATTTTAATTGCTGTTTAAAATCCTGTTTTAATTGTATTTATATTTGATTGTTTTATGTTTAATGATTTAATGTTTAACGTATTTATAATCTGTTATGTTTATGTTTCAATGTGGCATCGAATTGTGCCATGCTGTAAGGCGCTCTGAATCCCCCCTTGGGGTGAGATAGGATAGAAATATGGCAAATAAATAAATAAATTTGCAGGCCCAAACTTTGTCTTCTTGGTTTTGGAGTGTGGTTCTCAACCACTAGTCTCTAACTTCTTTGGACTTCAACTCACAGAATCCCTGGCCACTGGCCATGGTTTGGACAGGTATTATTGGACTACAGCTCTGGTTTCCTATGGTTTCCTGTTTGCATATTAACCAGGACTGATTCTGGTTAGCTTCCAATACAGGATCAGATGCCTTTAGTATATTTAGACCCTATAGGTTTGCCTTAGGATTGCCAATTGTTGGAAACGTGACTTGAAATCATAACACATGACAATAACTGTACAGTGACAAACACAACAGCAAATACATCATTCCCCAGCTGAGGGCGCTTGTGTTCAGCTGAAACAGCAAGAGATGTGTTCCATGTAATATTGGCCCTTGCGCATGCATATTAATATGGAAACAAAGAGCTTGTCCATCATGTTAGCAACTGAGTATCAGGTACTTGTTGGTATCAAGGCCAAGTCACTTCACGATTAATTTCACGGAGAAGAGCCACTCTGCTAAGGATTCTTTTCAAGAGGGAAAACTGATAACATTGATGCAAAACAGGTTTCCATATCTTGGCATCCCTGAGAAAAATTGTTTGTGAAAGGCATTGTGGTCCAATTTGGGTCACAAAATTATTGTATAATGTGGCGGAAGAGTAAAAAATATGGATATTTTGAGTCAGATATTTCAGTGGGGAAGAATTTTGAAAGTAAAACAACTTCAGAAAACACAGACATTGGCAGATGCAAAAATCTATTGTATAATTATACTATTTCATTCCCATATCTATCCTGAATTTCCATCAAGGTCTCCATCTTTTGCATTTTCAGTGTTTACCTCCCTTTGCTTTACCTGCAGATTGTTAGGATTTCCTCCCTTTTCACCTGGAGTTTGCAATGACATTTTCAGAGTTTCATGCCACAACATGCTTCTATTAACCTTGCTTGTTCTGGGTGGCTGCTCTGATCTAATGATAAAACCACCACAATAGGTATAGCTTCTAACTTGGATGAATTCAGAGGAAAACCTGTCCCCTCACAAATAACTGCAGTAGGAGGGATGGATTTCTTGGCAGTTGTTGCAAATCAACATCCTATAAGTGTTTTGGACTACCTTGGGGTTTTTTTCCATGTCAGGAGCGACTTGAGAAATTGCAAGTGGCTTGTAGTATGAGAGAATTGGCCGTCTGCAAGGACATTGCCCAGGGTACACTCGGATGTTTTAAAATGTTTTTACCATTCTTGTGGGAGGCTTCTCTCATGTCCCTGCATGGGGAGCTAGAGCTGACAGAGGGAGCTCATCCATGCTCTCCTCAGATTCGAACCTCCGACCTGTCAGTCTTCAGTCCTGCCGGCACATAGGTTTAACCCATTGTGCCACCGCAGGCTCCTTGCTCTTGAACTAGCAATTAAAAACTTCTAGCCTGATAAAATATCCACATAAATGAAAACTGCTAGAACTAGTTCACTGATATGGAACGAAATCAATAGTGGTAGGCTTGAATAGGTGGTCACCATGACAGTCCCATAAAAATACACACACACACCCCAAAAGTACAAAAATCCAGGTTGTTCTTACAATCCATATAGAAAAGTTTTCCAATAACCTGGTCATAGTCGAAATTAAAACTTGGAAATTGTGGCCTGTCAAAGTACACAGTTATAACACTATGATTCCACTTTGGCTCCCATGGCAATTTCCTATGGAATTTCTAGTATTTGCAGTGTAAGGAGGGATATTTAAAATGTTTAAACTACAAATCCCAGGAGTCCATAGGATGTAACCATGACATTTGAACTGAAATATACAGCCATACCTATTTAGTACAAAACGACACCAGTTCTAATTCTTAATTTCTACTAGGAGCAGGTCTTTTGCAAAGCTTCCGTGTCTTCATGCTTCATTCAAGAACAAGACATCCCAAAATACTTCATATGACTGAAAAGGATAGCTCACAGCTAAAGTAGAATACCACACTGTGTCTGTTTAATGTGAACAGAACCCAGTTCTAAATCTTAGCCCCTTTCCACACAGCTGAATAAAATTCCACATTAATCTGGAATAGATGGCAGTGTGGACTCAGATAACCAAATTCAAAGCAGATATTGTGGGATTTCTTGCCTTGATATTCTGGGATATAGGGCTGTGTGGAAGGGTCTTTAATCTCTACTAGGAGCAGGTTTTTTTCAAAGCTTTTGGTCTCTATTGCTCATTCAAGAACAAGATGCTACCAAATACTTCCCATTTCTAAAAGGGTTACTTACGATAATAAACTGTTCTCTATCTAAGAAATTGTAGTTATGGCCGCTAAACTCAGAGGGAATAGGGGTACCAGACTGGTGCTGACTAATTATTTTTGCTAATTAAGAAGCCTTGGTGCTCTGATCGCTTGACCAAAGCACTGAGACAATTTCAGACTCTCCTTGGGGATATGGGCTTGGCAAGCTCAGTGTTTACACTTCCAAAAATGCATCAGTTTGTGTGTTGATCTTGCCAACATAACCATTTGTCAGGAAGCCTCTTGGAGATAGGAGCCATAACAACTCCCTTTATTGTACTCTCACCCTCCTACGTTCACTCTTCAATGTACATTTTTGAGTGCTCTGTAATATTTTGATGTATCTGTGGTTCTGCTGAAATAAAAAGTGGAATCAAACTAAGTGACATGATAAATGACCTCTGGTGTCCATCATCTAATTAACTAAGCCACAGCTTCAATCCATTTCCATTTTCAGGGCAGTGAACAAGAGCTTGAATGAGCATACATTTTGATTATTGCCGAACGCCTTCAGAGAGGAGTGTCTTCAGAATAACAAACCTGGAGCGAGACCAGTGATGGTGCATTCATATGAATGTGGAAGCTGGCCCCTTCCTGCTTTATGAACTCCCATCTCACCTACAATGGATTCCCATGTCACAATGCTGTAGTGAAAGCAACACATGAACCCCTCCAAGGTTTAGACTAAATCCATCCTTGCTCAGCTGGAGTCCCTAATATAGGACTAGGCAATTGTGCCAGGTGACAGTTCTCACCCACTCAAGCTGCAAATGTATCAAAAAGAAACCAGGAGTGGTTTTATTTAGGGCCATTTTTACTCTACATTTTGGAGGTTAGGGTGGCTTTTCATCAAACACAAAGGGCAAAGCATTAAAATTTATGAGAAGTCTGGCATCAGGGTCACAATAGGTTGGCATGCCTTTCTCCACCTATTCCCCAATGCTTTGGTTTCCTCCCTCTCAGCCAAGAGTCTTGTGTAAATTGCCCTTTGCCTGCCAGCTTCCTGCCTGAAATGTCATGCAATTTCGAAGTTACGCTGAGAGGTGCAGAATGGGCTAGCAATGTGAGTTGCCCACCCTCAGATCAAGTGGTAAGAATGCACTCCCTTTGATCCATGACGATATCATTCAGAAAACCACCCTATGAAAGTCACAACCCTAGGGAAAAAAAGAGCCTTCATCTCTAGCTCACTGAAATCTTAACCTTTTTTTTAGCATCTGTTCACAATCCCATTTTCTTTGAACTCAAGTCTAGTAGGGTCAAATGTCAAGACCAAATTTATTCCAATGACACAGTCCATGTGTATTTCAAGGCAGGATGGAGTGGGAAGTACTCGGGGCATTGCGATGAACTACTCATCTTTCTGGATGGAACTACTCCGATCACACATTATAGGTTGTGGGTTCTGATGGTTAGTATATAAAGCGGCTATATTGTATTAATTATACTCAATTCTTTTAGGTTTTGGCATGACAAAAACTATCAATAAAAATGGTTGACGCAGGATATTCTATTGCACATAAGTATGCACACCTTGAAACAGTTGTCTAAACAGAATCCTGGAAAGAAAAAAAGGTTGTGGGTTCTGATGGTAGTACATAAGCCAAAGGACTCTCTTTCCAAGTGGATATCTTGTGTTTCCCATCAATCCGGCACTAGAAATTTCTCTTGCAAGCCATCTCAGGCAAGAAAAGGGGTAGGAACTGGAGCAAATTCAATCGGTAGTCTGTAGGAATGCCATGCTAAAGTCCCATGTATGTACTCAGTCAGGTATACTTAAAGATTCAACAGAACAAGAAGATACTTCCTTAATAGGTTTTACACTCACATTCTCCTTCGAAGAAAAGGGACGGGGAAATACATACCTGTGTGGGAAGAGGTGTCCAGGTTCCTAGTGTAGTATTATGGTACCTATTTTAACTTCAATTAATGTATTGACCAAGTATTACTAATGAAGGCACTGTGCCCCCTCTCCAAACATAAGGATGTCTAGGGTGTGGACCCTGTGTAACTCTTAAGATGGCAGGTCTTCTATATCAGTTGTGTAAAATAGGGTATTTCAGCAGATGTCACTTGTCATGTATTGCCTCTCTGACATACCTATTCAGGTACAAGGGCAGACAAACTAGACAAAATATGCAGAGGCTTAATTTCCTTATATTTTTTAAAAAAATAGGTCATGTTTGGCATGACACCCCACCGCCATTATTCTGTTTAGGTTGTATTTTAATATATACTCTGCCTGGGTACTGATCATTGACTTATATATATCTTTATTGTATACACACACACACACACACACACAAACAAGCACGCATGCACACATATATACACACACACACAGCCTGAAGACAAAAGTGGGGAGGGGTCTTCTTCCCACCCATCTTATAAGAGAATAGGCCATGTTCTGTGTGTTTACTATTTGAATTGGACATGTTAACTTATTTGTGTACTTTACAAGCAACGCAATCCATGAAAATGTAATGAATCATAGAATCATAGAGTTGGAAGAGACCTCATGGGCCATCCAGTCCAACCCCCTGCCAAGAAGCAGGAATATTGCATTCAATGCAAATCCATGTGTTAGTGTGCTTGAAATTCAAGTGTTCAACCTGGCATACAAGTTTGTACAGGAAGCACTGTACATTTAATTAAATCCCACCGCTGCTGCCCATACCCTCCAAGACAAACCCATCAACACATATGCTTGTCTGATGGTTAAAAAAATTCTGGGTTTTTATTGGTTTTGCTAGACAATACTAAAAAAAAATCCCTCCATTCTGAAAGGCAGGGCTTGAATTATTTAAAATTTGATCCATTTGTTTAAAAAAAAACAAAAAGGGGAAAAGGGGAGAAGAGATCATGGCAAAAAAAGTCCTTTATAAGCTCAGTTTTTGTTCCAAGTCAAAATCCACTTAGTCCCCAAAATAAATGTCTAAGGCAAGGATGTTTATAAAGGACAATGACAGCAGTCAGCCTGGGAGATGAAAAGTCAGACAAACGTAGACTAGTCAAGATTGTGACCAGGACCACTGGGATTTAGGTTGGTAAGAACACTCTTAAGATGTATTCTAGCAAGATGGCTGAAATGCACACAATAAATCATGTACACTAGAATTCTGGACAATAACAATATTTCTTGGGAAATGGACAATATTCTGCAAGTAGGATAATACCACCCACAGCAGGAAGAGAAATATGAGTAGCATCACATTTCAATTCTCCAAACAACGGCTTCTATGCCTGATCAAGTAGATCCAAACAGAGGAGCAAACTTCCCTGTTAATAGCGACACTTACATTTCCTGCATACAGCTGTGCACCACTGGAAGGAGCCAATCGCCATAAGAACATTTATTCAGGAGAAGCAACCAAAGTGCACCCCTCAAATTCATTGGGGTTCACTTACCATGCCACAGGAAACTGTGACAAGGATGGAAACCCACCCACCGCACTGTGTCTTCATATTGCTTTGAAAAAAGGAGCCAGTGCGGTTAAACTGGAGCTGAGCATAGCCATGCTTGAACTCAGCCCAAAATCTCACATCCCTTTCCACCTCTAAGTTGGGTCATAAGGAGCAAGACATACAACTGTGGCTCGTAAACTCCGCCAGGCAGCCTTGACCTACAGCAAGACCAGGTGCCCCTTGTAATGGCCAGCAGAACAGCATATGAGCAAGAAGGAAGCTATCAAATCTCCCAACACTACATGCCCTCTGAGGAAAATAAAATTTCTCCAACAGTACCATAGGGTGTTGCTCAGGAGCCCTTCCAATCCAGTGGTATTACCAGAGCCCCCATTTAGGGAAATGTAATGTAACATACAAGCTCAACTTGTGAAAGACAATGAGGGGGAAGCCTGCAACCCTTGTGTGTCTCTCACCCTCACAGGGTACAGCCCAACAAAACCTTAGCTCCAACACGGGTCTGATCTCCAGAGTTGTACGTTAAAAATGCCAACCACAGAAGGCTTGATTGTTAAGCACAGAGATATGCATTATTATTTTTCTGCCATGATCTCAGTTCAGAGTACTGCAAGAAGCAGAAAATATTTAAAGGACATTTTATATATATATTTATTATATATATATATATATTTTGAGATAAGAAAAATAAGGCTAATTCAAGCCTTGCCCTGTGCAAACAAAAACCAAAACGAGAGATCGCCAGTCACACAAAGGTCCCGATTACATTACCAGAGTCAGCCTGTTATTTTCTGTTTTCTCTATATATTTTTTTTCTTTAATAGGACAACTGGGGAGCTGAATTCTCCTATGATACAGGAGGGAGAGGGTTGGCATGGAACTGATTTTCAGTAAAGCTAAAACAAAAAAGATTCTGGGAGGGAGAAAAACCTCAAAGACAAGACAGCTGACTGTTCTAGGGGGGTAAACTTGATGGGCAAAAAGTAAAGAGTCTGTTAGTCAAGTAATGAATGAGTTTTTAAATTATTCTCTTGTTTTTGAAGTCTAAAGTTCGGAAGCTTGTGGGTCCCCCATCATTACAGGGCCACCACAAAATAGAAGTGGAACCCCCCTGCCCTCCCCTGCCCTCTCTGTGAAGGAGAGGTGTATCATCTGCCGCTGCTGCTGCTGCGTGTTCGAAGGGCTCCCCCCACCCCCACCCCCCGCAGGAGCAATCTATCGCAACCAGGAAGGGCAGGCGGGACTCAGGATGAGAGGGCACTCTCCTTCTGTGTTGGCTGGACTTGTGAACGCTGCATCCCCTTTTGGCTTTCGACATCTCTAAAATGTTTCTCGACCTGGATGGAAAAGGAAGCAAGGGAGTTAGCAGGAATCCAGCTTGGGCAGCAACAAGGGAGTTGGGAGGCTGATCTGCCACTAACAGATTCTGCTAGTTATATAGAAGGCAAAGCCTTGATATCTTAACAGGAATGACATTTGAAATAGAGGAAACAGGGCTTTCTCTTTGGTCCACATTACAGGCACATCTGTTTCCATGTCTACACTGAAGAAAGATTGTGTGGCTGGTAGAAGGTATAGGATATCAAAGTGAACTAGTATAATCTTTATCAGCCACAGATAAGTATGATATCTCACTAGAACAGTGGTTCTCAACCTGTGGGCCCCCAGGGGTTTTGGCCTACAACTCCCAGAAATCCCAGTCTGTTTATTAGGATTTCTGGGAGTTGAAGGCCAAAACATCTGGGGAACCACAGGTTGATAACCACTGTACTAGAGCTTCAATCTACTTGACTGATTGATACTGAAACATTTGGTCCTTGTTGCTGTTTCAAGCAGTTCAGAGGGGAAGAACAGAAATTTACCGTTCTAATTCTGTCCTGCAGAAAAATAAATGTCCCATTCTGTTCTGTTAATAGTATAACCACCTGAATTATCTAGGACAGGTATCTTTTTCTCGTTGTCTGGAGAAATAGATAATAAAATGGATATTTAGCCAAACAATGGTTGTTAATGGCTGATAGGGGATGGATCACAGTATTGCTTACAATCCGGATTATGCTTGAGGTCAGTCTTACTTGTCTGATTTTTAAACAACACCGTTTTGTCCCAGAACTTGGTCTACTTACTATTTTGCGTACATGACTTAGGGCACTCCCCTCTTTTCCTTTACAGTTTTCCACTTGGTATGGAGGGGCAATGACAACTTCTTCCATCACGACTATATTCTTCTCTTGCCATTTACAATCTTTAATACTGGAGAAAGCAACAGAGAGTTCATTGATTTTAATACAATACAAAAAAACTTTCATAAGGTCACAGGTTAAACAGCCAAAACTACAGAAGGTAAGCAGTAAATCAGAAGCAATTGTCTGCTCATTCTCTCCTGACACACCACCTTTTCCTTTGCTCCACTTGAATTTCCCTTGGTTTCCTCTGTAGCACAAATATGGCTCTCCTCTAACATTACATGCCATCATTAACAAGATGGACACTGCATAATCACAAGAGCTTATGCAGACTACAATCTACGAAATCCAGAGAAGTCAATGGGAGACAATGAGCTCGGATGAAGAGTTGGAGAGAGGGCAAGGCAAACACCCCAGAAAGAAGGTTCAAGTTGCACACAAGGCTTTTTCAAATACAGAAGAAAGACTAACATAGCATATCCCCTACCCACCTACTACAATTTATAAAATACATAATCTTATGTGGCTTTCAGGAGCAGTCTGCCAGGCCTCAAAACAAAGCGGAGCCATCATTCTGACATATGTGTTTTGAACGGAATTAGTATGTGGGAAAGCCTATTACCTTTTGATGGTCTTACAATAAATCTGCTAGCCAAATCTTATAGTCATATCATCACTTCAAAATAATTTTAAAACATATAGAATTATAGATTTTTATAGACAAATTTAAATGATAAGCTTTAAAACTAGAACTTATTTAAACCGGTAGCTACATAGCCTTCAATATCACTTTGCTTCAAACAATGTTGTTATACTTGTTATGGGATAGACTGGAAATCTTTGGAAGAACTATCATGCTGGGAGAAATGAGGAAATGTTGACTGGAAGTTTGCACTTTTCTTAAAAATCTAGCATGAGTTGCAATAATAGATGTCATCACTTTATTTAAGTGTGTGGTGGAGACCAATGATGCATCCATACTGACTTCTAATCAAGACATAGTCCTGAAACAATTGTACAGAATAGCCTGACTGAATGGGAGTGATATGTGAAGATGGGCAGTGCAATATACACACTTAAGTATGGTATGTTGATCTCTGTAATAAAATATATACTGATGCCATTTATCATTTTTTATTTTTATTGTCTTCTGTTGCACATGGTGTATTTACAGGTCCTAATTACAGCTCAACGGAATGGCACTCTGCCATTGTATATATTGTTGTAAGTTATCAACAGTCTTGTAGGCATCAATGATATTTTGCACTTCACATTTTTTTTTTGTAATGCAAGGGGTTTTTTTTCTATGTAAGACCAATTACCATAGTGAACACACATTTTGATGCTTCAAATGTTAGAATTGTTTCTCAGCATATTTCTCCTACCAGCTGTAGTTTTTGAGATACAGAACATATGCCATATACCAGTCGCCATTTGCTCACCCATAAAGAATCATAACCATATCGAAGATGCTAGAACTGATTTGGTCTATCCAATGCAATTTTCTGAATAAGTGCCCCAAATAACCACAAAACAAGGCTAAAAACTGAAACACCAAGATTTTTTTTCCTTTGTTGGGCTTGTGTTTTTTTCACCCTCACCCTGAATTATTAGGTATTATTTGATAGGGTTCAACAGGCATGTTGACTCACATTATCCTTCAGCAAGATGAAAAAGGGGAACCTCTACAAAGTACAATTCACACAAGCTCTGGAGCAACAAAAGTTCAACCAAAAGTCCTACTTCCTTTCAGTTGCACCATCCACCCTAGAATATTTGTCAGTGTTTAGAGTGTGGGTGACAATGAGTTAACCTGGCTCTTTCCTACGGTCTTTGAAACTATTTGATATCTTTTGCTCCAACCAAATAAGGGGACTTAACAAAGGTTTACAAGGAAGTGGGGGAAATAAGGAAAAAAGCTTCCTCCAACGTGTAGTGAAATGAAGGAAATAGATAGGTAGCTATCTGTACTTGCAGGTGGCAATCGTTTTGGTTTCAGAGTTTGATAGACATGGAATAAATGTCTACATACATTTAGGTGATGGAGATATATTGCATTTCTGTAGCTTAAGTGGAACCTAAATATCCTAAAGGCTGATCTTGCAAGTTAAGTAGGGTCAGCTCTGGTTAGTACTTGGATGGAAGACCACCAACAAATACCATATGTTGCAGGCTATGTTTCAGAGGAAGGAACTGGCAAAACCTCTAAGTAGTCCTTGCCTAAGAAACCCTATGAAATTCATGAATTCACCAAAAGGTAACAGGCAACCTGAAAGCACAGACACATACTGGTAGCTTTTTGTTCCTTCCTTGATTATTTTCCTGTCCGTATCCTTCTTTCCAGCTCCTCTACTTACGTCTTGTGTATAGTCTGGAAAAGCTGCTGTCCTTCCAAAGAGACCCCAGCACTAATTGCATATGCCTGGCTCAGCTTTTCTTCCTTCTCCGTCCGTGCTTTGTTTGCAAGCTGGAATGAAAGTATGAGAGATACAGAGATCTTAATCTCAGGCTACGACACATAGCAAATATGCTGATCCTTAAATGGAGCTGAATTTGTAGCGAAAAATATATATTTGGATGACACGGATTGCGACAAATCCTCCCTCATAAGCTGAAGTCCTCCAATGAGCTAACTCCTCAAAGATGCACAGAACACAACAGGTTTTTTTTTTATAAAAACAAGGTACAGAAAAGAAAAGAACAAAATAAGAGAGTGATAAAATAGAGTGGACAAGGTGCAGTCTAGCACAACATCAAGGTATTATCTTTGTTGCTCCAATGGGTATATTTATTCAGGGCCACAAAGGGCAAGCCCGTTTTGCAAGTTGCATCATTGTAAGCAAAAGGAAGCTGACATTTATTGGTATGAACGAATCCTGCCAAGAAAACCCTGTGCTAGGTTCACCTTCAGGTCACCATAGGTAGGAAATGGCTTGAAGGCACACAACAACCACAGCCAAATATCAGCTTCCTTTGACTTTTTAATTAGCACCCTATACTCACCATTCGATCAGTTCATGTTGCAATGTAGTTTCTAAGCTCATAAAATTTGTGTTAGTGAAGTTTCCTCTTTTAGCCCTCCAAACACCAGCCCCCAATGACGAGAGTATTAGAAAGGCACAAAATGATCTTTTAAAAAGCCTGGCTCTCATTACTCCTTTAATTCTCTTCCACATTTTAAACATAACCATGGGATGAATGGGAGAGTTCTATGAGATATGGGCTGGCTTGGGTGCATCTACACTGGAGAATTAATGCTATTAGAGACCACTTTAATTGCAATGGCTCAAGGCTATGGAATCTTGGGATTTGTTGTTTGGTGAAGCACCTGCACTTTTTGACAGACGAAGCTAAAGACCTTGTAAAACTACAACTCCCATGATTCCATAACACTAAGTCAAGGCAGTGAAAGTGGTGTCCAGCTGCATGAATTCTTTAGTGTACATGTACCCTTAGTAGAGAACAACTGCAGAAGAAAAAGTCTTGCAATCCATGACAGGGACATCAAATCCTGTATGACTCATAACCAAGACAACAACCTTGTACCTTGACTAAAAAGCATCAGTCAACTCAAATACAATTCAGTACCAAGGTCTAAGGCTATCTTTGTTTAAAGCAAGGGCTCCATTTAATAATGCCAACCATGGACTGTAACATTTTCAGGAAACACATTACCAGAATATCTACAGTCATTCATTATGGCACTAAGTGATGAACCAGAACATGACTACTAACCATGAAGGAATAACAACAGAACATTAGACATATTTAACCTTTGCAAAGTTGCAATTAGTGGTTTTCATACAATTACTTAAGAAGTGCACAAGAGGATATAGATATATAAAATTTAAGGGATAAAATAAAATTACAATACACATGTAATCCCAACCAATTAAGTTATCATTTAATTTTTTGGCTAAAAAAGATCAAATAAAAATGGAAATTTTATTTTATTTTGAAGGCACACAGAGCAGCATCTTATTTCTTTGTCTAAGACTAGAAGGCTGGAATCTGTTTGCATAAGAGCCATTAAGCATTTCTGGTTAATTTGAATGCTAAACTGGAAAATTTCCACATCCAGTTTTGAATTTTTTTGAATATTTATTTAAAATAGATTTAAACTGCTTGACATTTTTTTTCTTCTGGTTAAGTATTTTTGTTCAAATATTTGTGGGATGTTGATGCATCCGAAAGTTCAGCTAAATAAATAAGAAAACATGTTAAATCAGACTACTGTTCTATTTAGAGTATCAGAAAACTAAAATTTTCCATACCATTGAATCAGAGCCAGAAAGGATTTCATAGTTAGTAACTGTTGGTCTAACACTCTCATTGGAAGGAAAATCCATCATCAGAAAGAATTCTTACCTTGCTAACGTTGAGTGAAGCTAAAGGTGGGGGGGTTTCCGTACGGTCATTAATAATTTCCACTTCTGAAACATACTGTAAGTTTATAAGTAAGATATCTGCATGGTTAGGTTTGCCACTGGAAGAAGGACATTCTGAAGGAAAGAGAATTAAGGAAACAATATCCAACATACAGTATATCATACAAAGTCCCAGAGAAAAAACAGATTTGACAAAAATGATTTAATAACATTTAGTATTCAACCATCGTGCTTGCCTGTTTCCTTGCAGTACCTTTGCTGATAAACTTTGCAGCTAGCTATCCTACGAGAGTGTCTGGTTGTGATTACACATATTATGATCCAAAACAGAAATCCTGGCTTTTGAGATGTGTGAAGGAATATGCCGAAGAGGGCAGCATGTACAGAATATAAAGCAGCCTTCCCCAGCCATGCTCCCTCCAGATGTGTCAAACTACAATGTGCATCATCCCCAGTTGGCACAGGCAATCATCATTTTGGCTTGGGGTAGTTAACATTGAATTCCATCATCAGGCTGGGAAGGGTGCTACTAAACAGCAGCTAACCCACCAAGATCAGCTATGAAAAATTGGGGATTATTCTGCATACCCACTCAGGCTACATTCCCAGAACGCTAATACAAAAGCCAACTTCAGAACAGGTGAAAAAGAAGCATTTAATGTATTATACACTTTTAGATAGCCAGAGAAAATTGAAATAAACTATTCCTGCCCAAATAATTGGTCAGTCCCATCGTTCATAATTGCCCTGAGATGTGTAAACACCGGGGATACATGAATGATTTTTACAGGCCATTCATGTATTCACAAAAGTGATATTAAATAACTCAGAATTCATAGCAATACGGGAGTGGGCTTGGTAAATCTCTTCAGGTGTTTCCCTAATCCAGAACCTTGTTTTCCGCAATGGCCAGACAGATGCTTATGGATGGCCACAGAAAGTCAGTCATGCCCTCCTGCCATTAATCCTCAGAAATTGGGTTTACGGAGGCACATTCCTTCTAGGGGTAATACATAACATCCTGAGTAACACCTCTTAACAGTCGTATCCTCCATGATTTTGTCTAATTGCGTTCTAATGCTATCCATATTGGTGGCCATCAGATTTCAAGGCTGCAAATTCCATCCCGTAATGATGGGCTGTGTGAAGAGGCACCTCCTTTCCCCCGTTTTATAAGTGCTGCTTAGCCCTATGCGTGGGGATGAAAACCTCTCTATCCACACAACTTTCAAAATCCAGCTTCTAATTATTCATCTTCTGAAAACACAGGAAATATCCCAACCAATTTAGTGCACAACACCTATCTGGCTTTAAAGCGCCAATGTGCATGTACATTCTCCTGCCGCATGACATCCCAGGGAAGACTTACATAGTGATAAAACAATGGATTCTGGCAACTCAAACGCAGAAGAACTGAAGTATTCCTACTATCCAGAGGCCCAGAAGCTTTCCCTCTATGTCCTCAGAAGTTATTTCTTACTGGCACAGGACTAGTACAGACATAAAGAGGGACTATTGTCACACATCTCTCATTCTGCTGTCCTAGTCATGGGGTCAAGCACTTAATCAGTGCTAATGCTAACATACAAGCAAAACACTTCTTAATGTTTAACTTTCATAGAAAGGGCTTGCACATACACTTATGCAAACATACATTCACAATTTGATGGTAATGAGCATGTTTTGCATAACTATTCAATGAGGACCTGCACACACAAACCATGAAATGCTTTTTGAAACATTTTAAATGTAAAGCTTTTTCAGTGTTATCAGTCCACAGAATCAGGTAACTTGCCATTGAGTTGAGAAGTCAAGTGAGCCGCGCTGATTATGTGGACCAAATTGTTGCCCTTTCACTTTCCAAATGAAAAGGAACTCAGTGTACTTGTTAAGCTCAGCAAAAGGCAGGCGTTTAAAACTTGCAGCCCACCTGATGCTATTGCATTGCAACTTCTACCCTTCCTTCCTTTGTGCTATGCTGTCTAGCTATGAGAGAAACTGCAATCTACCAATATCTGGAAAGCCACCAATGACTTAAGTTTGGCCTCTTTATCGTAAACCCGTCTGGTTCTCTCTTTTTCCTTTCTCCATAAATCACACCCTCCCATCACCATCTGGTAAGCCAACACCTATTTTTCTGAGCTTTCACTTTCACAAAACATCTATTCATTTTCTTCCAAGCTCCTCTTATCAAAATGCAGTATTCTAAGTTTGTAGTAATCTCAATGCCTCTTGCTGCAAGGGTTCAAGATCCACAATCCTATCTTAAAATTGTTTTCTAAGAAGCAAATGGATATTCTCTAATCTGGAAAACAGAATCAACTACCAGACCTACCCTTCACCTTCCTCTTCTTCCTTCCCTTTCCCTCCACACAAACCCATGCTGATCAGTAGGGCTGTCTTCCTTCATCAAAGCCTCAGGCTAATTAAGGTCCTCAAAGTTAATACATTCCTCCAGCACTGAAATGGTATTACAGAACCATAGTGTTGGTAGAGATCATAAGGGCCATACAATCCAATCTCCTGTCATGCAAGAACATCCACTCAAATCACTCCCAACAGGTGGCCATCCAGCCTTTGCTTAACCTCCAGAAAAGGCACCTAGTTCCAAATCGCCCATATTCTTCTTGAATTGTGGCACCCAGACCTGGACACAGTATTCCAGGTGAGGTCTGCCCAAAGCAGGAAAAAGTGGGAAGACAGCCTCCCCTGACCACATGTTTTGGACTCCGGCACCCAAACTTTCGGTCCTCTGGGTGTCCAAAACACCTAGAGGGCCAAAAGTTTGCCCATGCCTAGCCTAGAATCAGATTGGCTTTTTGTGCTACTGCATCACACTGTTGACCCACGTTCTGCTTGTTGTCTACAAAGGTCCCTTCTATACTGTCTTTGTATCCCAGGATAGTTGCTTTGAACTGAGTTATATGAGTCTCCACTGCCATATAATATAAACATATATTCTGGGATATAAGGACAGCGTAGAAGGGGCAGAAGGACCCTTCCACACAGCCATATAACCCAGGATATCAAGGCAGAAAAGCCACAATATCTGCTTTGAACTGGGTTATCTGAGGCCCTTCCACACAGCTGAATAAAATCCCACATTATCTGCTTGGAATCTATGGCAGTGTGGACTCAGAAAACCCAGGCCCCTTCCACACAGCCATATAATCCAAGGCAGGAAATCCCACAATATCTGCTTCGAAGTAGGGCCCCTTCCAAACACCTTAATAAAATCCCACATTATCCGCTTTGAACTGGAATATATGGCAGTGTGGACTCAGATAACCCAGTTCAAAGTAGATATTGTGTGATTTTCCGCCTTGATATTCTGGGTTATATGGCTGTGAGGAAGGGCCCTGGGTTATCTGAGTCCACACTGCCATATATTCTAGTTCAAAGCAGAAAATTTGGGATTTTATTCAGCTATGTGGAAGGGGCTCCAGTTCAAAGCATATACTGTGGGATTTTCAGTCTTGATATTCTGAGGACCCTTGCACACAGTCATATAACAGAGGGTCCTTCCACACAGTTATAGAACCCAAAATATTAAGGCTGAAAATCTCACCATATCTGCTTTGAACTGGGTTATCTGAGTCCACACTGTCATATATTCCAATTCTAAGCAGAAAACATGGGATTTTATTCAGTTTATTTATTTATTAACCATATTTCTATACCGCCTTTCTCGGCCTGAAGGCGACTCAGCCCGGTTTACAAATGGCATAATTTGATGCCTACAAAACACAAAACAATTAAAACATTTAGCATAAATAACATTTGATAAAATAAAACCGATAAAATTATAAATCCACAGTGCCTCATTACCCAATCGCACTGTCCAATCATTCTGAAGATTGGTTTGTCTGCTACACTGCATTTGGGAAAGCTTGCTCAAAAAGCCAGGTTTAAACTTTTTCTTTTGATATGTTAGGAGGGTGGGGGCTGATCTACATCCCTAGGGAGGATGTTTCCTAGCCAAGGGGCCACCACTGAGAAGGTCCTGTCGCTCGTTCCCACCAACCTAGTCTGTGAAGAAGGCGGGACCGAGAGCAGGGCCTCCCCAGAATATTTTTATCCAGCTGTGTGGCAGGGGCCCCAGAATATCAAGGCAGAAAATCCAATACTATCTGCATTGAACTGCGTTATCTGAGTCCACACTGCCATATAGTCTAATTCAGGAGTCCTCAAACTTTTTAAACAGAGGGCCAGGCCACAATCCCTCAAACTGTTGGAGGGCCGGATTATAATTTGAAAAAAAAACACGAATGAATTCCTATGCACACTGCACATATCTTATTTGTAGACACTTAAAAACCATACAATTATTAAAATGAAGAACAATTTTAACAAATATAAAGTTATTATTATTTCATTGGGAATTGTGGGCCTACTTTTGGCTGATGAGATAGGATTGTTGTTGTTATTGTGTGCTTTCAAGTCATTTCAGACTTAGGTTGACCCTGAGCAAGGGCCAGGTAAACGATCTTGGCGAGCCGCATTAGGCCCCCAGGCCTTAATTTGAGGACCCCTGGTCTAATTCAATGTGGATTTTATAGAGATGTGTGGAAGAGGCCTAAGACTCCTAAATCCCTTCCACATTGACTGTTTCTTTTTTTTTTCCTGCCTAGGTGTAGCACTTTTTGAAATTCACTTTGGTTTGGGTCAAAGCGGCTGAGGGGGAAAAGGAAGGGGCCTGAGGCTGTTAGGAATGCTGGGAGTTGAAGTCCAAAACACCTAGAAGGCCCAAGTTGACCGTGCCTGGCTTGGGCCCTGATCTCTCATCTGTTAAGGTACATTCAGAGCCCTGATCTCCTCCTCAAGGGTGTCAATTGGGTGCCACCTCCTCTTCCGCCGCCCAAGCCATTGCTAAAGAGGCTGAGAGAGGAGCCCTAGGCCCAAGCCAGACCCCTCTGGACCCAGGGCGCCATTGGGAATCCCGGCGTGGGTTCCCATCCCATCCCTCCCGCCCTCCAGGCCCTCTCCCGCCTCTTTCCCGGTGAGGATACTGAGCGCCAGCATCTTGCTGGGGTAGTCGAAGGCCACCACTTCGCCCTGCAGCCGCTGCTCCTGGCAAGTCCGGCACGATACCTGGCTGCCCACACTGAAGAACTCGCCCGGGGCCGCCATCTTGTTTCAGGCCCAGGCCCAGGCGGCGCCCTTCGCGGCCCCTCACGCCGCGGCTCCGGGGCCCCAGCGGGAAGCGGCGGCGGAAGGGAAGGAGGCAGCAGAAGGAGCCGCGGAAGGGCCGCCACCCAGCCAAGCCGGGCCCAGCGCGCTCTCGCCTGGCTCCCTTTCCTCCGCCTGCCTCGGTTCAGCCTCCTAGGCAAGGGGAGGAAAAAAAAAAAGAAAAAGGAAGGACGAGGAGTGGCCAAGGCGACGGCGCCCCGCCCGCACTCACGCACGCGACGTCACCGCGCACGCTGGCGACGCCGCCGCCGATTGGCCAGGCGAGAGTTCAGTTTCAGGGAAGAGGGAAAAGGAAGTGGAGTCAAGCCCCGCCTCGGAGGAAGTGGGCGGGGCTTGGCTAATGCCTTCTCTTTCAAGAGGCGGGAGGGGCTTGGAAGGAGGGAGAAGGAGAGTCTCATCACGCTTCAGCATTTATTAACCACTGCAATCCTCTTTCATTAGGACCTCATCACACTCCAGCAGGCATGGGCAAACTTGGGCCCTCCTGGTGTTTTTGGACTCCAACTCCCACAATTCCTTTAGCGGCTGAGGGGGGGAAAGGGAAGGGCCTGAGGCTGTGAGGAATTGTGGGCGTTGGGAGTCCAAAACACCAGGAGGGCCCATTTTTGCAGTATTTATTATTTATTCATTCATGTCTATCCTGAGGCTGTGAGGAATTGTGGGAGTTGGAGTCCAAAACACCAAGAGGGCCCATTCCTGCACAATTTTTTATTTATTTCTTTATAAAACTTGTGCGCCAGCTGTGCCCGTACCTTGGGAAGTCTGACTTGGCCACGGTGGTCCACGCTCTGGTTACATCCCGTATAGACTACTGCAACGCTCTCTACGTGGGGTTGCCTCTGAAGATTGCCCGGAAGCTTCAATTAGTCCAATGAGAGGCAGCCAGATTACTAACAGGAGCGGGGTACAAGGAGCATAGTACTCCTCTGTTGCGCCAGCTCCACTGGTTGCCAATTAGTTTCCGAGCACAATTCGAAGTGCTGGTGTTAACCTATAAATCCCTAAACGACACTGGCCCAGTTTACCTGTCCGAACGGATTCTCCCCTATGAACCATCAAGATTGTTAAGATCTTCTGGAGGGGCCCTGCTCTCGGTCCCACCGACTTCACAAGCACGCCTGGCAGGGACGAAACAGGGCCTTCTCAGTGTTGGCCCCTCGGTTGTGGAACGCCCTTCCTATGGATATTAGATCGGCCGCCTCCCTACTGGCATTCCAGAGGAGAATGAAGACCTGGCTGTTCGAACAGGCATTCAACTAGGCAGTGCAATTGATTATTGGAACATGGAATAATGGATATTGAGACTGGATTCTGATTTTATTGATGAGACATGATGGATTTGTTATATTGATGTATTGATGTTTGATGTTTAATCGCTATGCTTTTAAATGTCCAATGATTTTGTACTGTGTATATTGAAATTGTTAACTGCTCTGAGTTGCCTAAGGGATGAGAAGAGCGGTATACAAGCGAAGTAAATAAATAAATAAAACACCAGGAGGGCCCATTCCTGCATTATTTATTATTATTTTTATTTTTGTATATCCTGAGGCTGTGAGGAATTGTGGGAGTTGGAGTCCAAAACACCAGGAGAACCCATTCGTGCACTATTTATTATTTTATTTATTCATGTATATCCTGAGGCTGTGAGGAATTTGAGTCCCAAACACCAGGAGGGCCCATTCCTGCACTATTTATTATTTATTTATGTATATCCAGAGGCTGTGAGGAATTGTGAGAGTTGGAGTCCCAAACACCAGTAGGGCCCATTCCTGCACTATTATTTATTTATTTATTTATTTATTTATTTATTTATGTACATCCTGAGGCTGTGAGGAATTGTGGGAGTTGGAGTCCCAAACATCAGGAGGGCCCATTCCTGCACTATTTAATTTATTTATTTATGTATATCCTGAGGCTGTGAGGAATTGTGGGAGTTGGAGTCCAAAACACCAGTAGGGCCCATTCCTGCACTATTTATTATTTATGTATATCCAGAGGCTATGAGGGATTGTGGGAGTTGGAGTCCAAAACACCAGAAGGGCCCATTCCTGCACTATTTATTTATTTATTTATAAAACTTGTGCGCCAGCTGTGCCCGTACCTTGGGAAGTCTGACTTGGCCACGGCGGTCCACGCTCTGGTTACATCCCGTATAGACTACTGCAACGCTCTCTACGTGGGGTTGCCTCTGAAGATTGCCCGGAAGCTTCAATTAGTCCAGATTACTAACAGGAGCGGGGTACAGGGAGCATACTACTCCTCTGTTGCGCCAGCTCCACTGGCTGCCAATTAGCTTCCGAGCACAATTCAAAGTGCTGGTGTTAACCTATAAAGCCCTAAACAACTCCGGCCCAGTTTACCTGTTCTCCCCTATGAACCATCAAGATTGTTAAGATCTGGAGGGGCCCTGCTCTCGGTCCCACCATCCTCGCAAGTGCGTCTGGTGGGGATGAGGGACAGGGCCTTCTCAGTGGTGGCCCCTCGGCTCTGGAATTCTCTCCAACTGGAGATTAGAACTGCCCCTTCTCTCCTGACTTTTAGAAAGCAGGTGAAAACCTGGCTCTGGAAACTGGCATTTGACGAGTGAGTCAATAACTCGTGACTACACAGACTGATGGTGATGAACTACGATTTCATTATGACGACTTGGCCTATGTAATTATATGATTGTATTTTAGTATTTTAATGTTTTAGTGTATTATGGGATGTGATGTTTTTAAACGATTGTCTGTGATGTTGTTGTTGTGAACCGTCCTGAGTCCCTCTGCGGAGGTGAGAAGACTGGTATATAAAAGTTCTAAATAAGTAAATAATAAATAAATAAATGTATATCCTGAGGCTGTGAGGAATTGTGGGAGTTGGGGTCCAAAACACCAGGAGCGCCCATTCCTGCACTATTTATTTATTTATTTTTGTTTATCTCCTGAGGATATGAGGAATTGTGGGAGTTGGGGTCCAAAACACCAGGAGGGCCCATTCCTGCACTATTTATTATTATTTGTATTTATTTATGTATATCCAGAGGCTCTGAGGAAATGTGGGAGTTGGAGTCCAAAACACCAGGAGGGCCCATTCCTGCACTATTTATTCTTTTTATTATTTATTCATATATATCCTGAGGCTCTGAGGAATTGTGGGAGTTGGGATCCAAAACACCAGGAGGGCCCATTCCTGCACTACTTATTATTTATTTATGTATATCCAGGGGACGCCCGGATGATTTGATGTTTTTATCATCCTTGTGTGAGACTTCTCTCATGTCCCCGCATGAGGAGCTGGAGTTGATAGAGGGAGCTCAGCCGCCTCTCCCCGGATTTGAACCTGCGACCTGTTGGTCTTCAGTCCTGCCAGCACAGGGGTTTAACCCACTGCGCCACTCTCACCCACTTTAGGGGCTGAGAGTATGAGACTTGCCTAAACTCACTTAAATGACCAAGTCGGAATTTGAACCCTGGTTTCTAGACTGCTTTTAATTGATATACTTTATCATTGCTATACTTTAAAAGGAGGTTTTTAAGCAGCGGCTGGATGGTCATCTGTTGGGAGTGCTTTGATGGTATATCCCCACATGGAAAAATGGGATTGGACTGGATGGTCCTTGTGAACTTTGTTTGTTGTTTATTTATTCAGTCACTTCCAACTCTTTGTAACCTCATGGACAAGTCCACGCTAGAGCTCCCTGTCCACCCCCAGCTCCTTCAAGGTCAAGCGTGTCACCTCAAGGATACCATCCTTCCATCTTGCCCTTGGTTGGCACCACTTCCTTTCTCCTTCCATTTTCCCAAGCATCATTGTCTTCCCCAAGCTTTCTTGTCTCCTCATGATGTGACCAAAGTACTTCATCTTTGCCTCTAATATCCTTCCCTCCAGTGAGCATTATTTCCTGGAGTATGGACTGGTTTATCTTCCTGCGGTCCAAGGCACTCTCAGAATTTTCCTCCAACACCACAGTTCAAAAGCATCTATCTTCCTTCGCTCAGCCTTCCTTATGGTCCAACTCTCACATCCATAGGTTACTACGGAGAATACCATTGCTTAACTATGCAGATCTTCGTCGCCAGTGTGATGTCTCTACTCTTCACTATTTTATCGAGCTTGGTCATTGCTCTCCACCCAAGAAGTAAACGTCTTCTGATTTCCCAGCTGCAGTCTGCGTCTGCAGTAATCTTTGTGCCTAGAAATACAGTCTGTCACTGCCTCCATGTTTTCTCCCTCTGTTTGCCAGTTATCAATCAAACTGGTTGCCATAATCTTGGGGTTTTTTATGTTTAACTGCAACCCAGCTTTTGCACTTTCTTCTTTCACCTTGGTTAGAAGGCTCCTCAACTCCTCCTCGCTTTCGGCCATCAAAGTGGTATCATCTGCATATCTAAGGTTGTTAATGTTTTTTCAGCAATTTGTGTCTCCAGCCTTGGATTTATCAAACCCTGTATGTCGCATAATGTGTTCTGCATACAAGTTTAATAGGTTGGGTGAGAGTACACAACCCTGCCATACTCCTTTCCCAATCTTGAATCAGTCTGTTGTTCCATGGTCAGTTCTTACTACAGATTTAAGTACAGATTGCAAATGCTGGGATTGAATGACTGTTCCGTGGTCTGTTCTTACTGTCGCTACTTGGTCATTATACAGATTCCTCAGGAGACAGACAAAGTGACTTGTGATCACCATCCCACCAAGAACTTGCCACAATTTATTATGATCCACACAGTCAATGGCTTTAGAATAGTCAATAAAACAGAAATTAATGTTTTTTCTTAAATACCTGCCTTTCTCTTTTATCCATTATCCTTGTGAACTATGATTCTATAATAGTAGGCAAAGGTAAAGGCTTTCCCCTGACGTTAAGTCCAATCTGGTGGTTGGTGTTCATCTCCATTTCTAAGCTGAAGAGCCGGCGTTGTCTGTAGACACCTCCAAGGTCATGACTGCATGGAGGACTGTTACCTTCCCGCCGGAGCGGTACCTATTGATCTGCTCACATTTGCATGTTTTTGAACTGCTAAGTTGGTAGAAGCTGGGGCTAACAGCAGGAGCTCACCCCCACTCCCTGGATTTGAACTGGCGACCTTTTGATCTGCAAGTTTAGCAGCTCAGCTGTTTAACCCACTGCACCACCCGGGGGAGGGGGGGGGGGGCTCAATTCCAATGGTAGAGAAATTTTAAAGTGAAGTTTGTGACTCCGATTGTATCCGCACTGCAGAATTAATGCAGTTTAAAACCACTTTAAACTAGGTAAAGGTTTTCCCCTGACATTAAGTTCAGTCTTGTCCAACTCTGGGGGTTGGTGCTCATCTCCATTTCTAAGCTGAAGAGCTGGCATTGTCCAGAGCCACCTCCAAGGTAATGTGGCCGGCATGACTGCATGGAGCTAAATGTTGTAGTTTGGTGAGGCACCAGCATTCTTAGGCAGAGAGGGCTAAAGACCTTTTAAAAATACAACTCTGACAGTTAAAGTGGTGTCAGACCTCATTGATTCTAGATGTGCTCTCTGCTTCCACAAGGCTGGATCTACATTGCAGTGGACAATTAGAGCCCCTTACATAAAATTGTAGTTTAAGCTTGAATTTGTAACTGATTAAATCACTCTGATTACATTTCTTCTTCAATATAAATACATTTATTTATTTATCTTTCAAATAATCATCAGGTCTTCCATTAGGAATTAAAAGGTGTATACCTTTCTGAAGGGACAACCTGCACAAAAAATAGCATGGACTCCCTTGCATGCCCTTTAGTCCCTTTGGTAGCCAAGCCGGGTTATTGGCAGGCCTCCCACTTCCTTAGACTTCTGGGAAATGTAGTTTGATGGGTTGTTCAGTGTGGCAGCCCAGTCGGCTCCGGGGCGTGGTGAATGGGAAACGGATCTGAAAAAGAGGAAGGAAAGCGGTTAAAAAGAAGGAGGAGATCTTGAAGAAGGGGAAAAAGGGCAAGGAAAGGGTAGGTAGTTGAATTGAGCTGCTTTGCAGGCGAATCAATGAAAAGGCATCACTTTTTTCAGGCTACAAAGTGTTGTGTAAGCTGCTGCAGCGAAGCGCAAAACCCGGATTATTTATGGAAAATTACGATTATATTATCTCCCCGAAATAGAGCAGATATGGCTTTTCCTAGCAGCTCGAACGTGCTGCCTCTGTGTTGCCTTGTCCTAGCTTGACCCCTCTCCCTCCAAGAATCTTGGGAGTCGTAGTTCTGCCACGTCCTTGGTCTTCTTCCCAGGGACGTTTTTTCTCTTTCTCGTACACACTCTTCCTCCTCCTCCCATTCTGTTTCTTCTTCCCTTTCTTTTCCTCTTCTCCTTCTCCTTTTTTCCTCCTTTTCTTCTCTTCCTCCTTCTTTTCCATTTCTTTTCCCCATATTTTTATCTCCTCCTCTCTTTCTTGTCCATTTCTTTCTCTTCTCTCTTCTTTCCCCCTTTTATCTCCTCCTCTTCTGCTTCTTTTCCTCTTTTTTCTCTCTTTCTCTCTCTTCCCTTTCTTTCCCTCCCCTCTTCTTCTTTTCTTTCTCTCCTCTTCTTTTCCTCTTCTTTTATCTTTCCCTCCTCTTCTGCTTCTTTTCCTCTTCTTTCTCTTTTTCTCTCTTTTCCATTTCTTTCCCTCCCCTCTTCTTCTTTTCTTGCTCCTCCTCTTCCCCTTCTTTTCCTCTTCTTCTCTTTGTCTTGCCTTTCAATTTCTTTTCCTCCCCTCGTCTTCTTCTTTACCCCCTCTTTTCATCTTCTCCTTCTCCTCCCCTTCTTTCCTCATCCTCTTCTCTTTCTCCTTTCTGTTTCTTTTCCTCCTCTTACTTTCCCCTTCTTTTCATCATCTCCTTCTCTTTCCTTTCAATTTCTTTTCCTCCTCTCGTCTTCTTATTTTCCCCTTACTTTCATCTTTTCCTTCTCCTCTTCCCCTTCTTTCCTTCTCTTCTTCTCTTTCTCCTTTCCATTTATTTTCCTCATTTTATTTTCCCGTGCTTTCTATCTTCTTCTCTTCCTCTTCCCCTCGTTTTCCACTTCCTCTCTTTTTCTTCGTCCCCTTTTCTTTTCCTCTTCTCCTTCTCCTCCTTCTGCTCTTCCTCTTCTTTTCCTTATCTTCTTCTCCTTTTCTTTCTTTTCTCTCCTTCCCCTCCTTCTCCTCCTCCTCTTCCTTTCTCCTCTCCTCTTTCCTTTCAATTCTTTTTCTCCCCTTGTCTTCTTATTTTCCCCTTACTTTCATCTTCTCCTTCTCTTCCCCTTCTTTCCTCCTCTTATTCTCTTTCTCCTTTCCATTTCTTTTCCTCCTCTTATTTTCCCCTTCTTTCCATCATCTCCTTCTCCTCTTCCTCTACCCCTTCTTTTCCTCTTCCTCCCCTCTTCCTCTCCTTCTTTTATCTCCTCCTCTTCTGCTTCTTCTGTTTTTTATGCTATTGTATATTATAATGCACTTCTGGGCTTGGCCTCATGTTAGCCGCCCCGAGTCCTCCTTGGGGAGATGGTGGTGGGATATAAATAAAGATGATGATGATGATAATGATTATTATTATTATTATTATTATTATATTATCCTCTTCTCTTTTTCTCTTTTCCATTTCTTTCTCTCCCCTCTTCTTCTTTTCCTCTACTTCTCTTTTTGTTTCCTTTCAATTTCTTTTCCTCCCCTTGTCTTCTTTTCCCCCTCTTTTCATCTTCTCCTCCTCTTCCCCTTGTCTTCCTCTTCTTCTCTTTCTCTTCCTCCCCTCTTCTTTTCCCCCATTCTTTTCCTCTTCTCCTCTGTATGCTCTTCCTCTTCTTTTCCTCATCTTCTTCTCCTCTTCCCTTTTTTTCCTCCTCCTTCTCATCTTCTCTTTCTCTTTTCTTTCAATTTCTTTTCCTCCCCTCATCTTCTAATTTTCCCATTCTCCTTCTTTCCATTTCTTTTCCTCCTCTTATTTTCTCCTTCTTTTCATCTTCTCCTTCTCCCCCTCTTCCCCTTCTTTTCTTCTTATTTTCTTTCTCTTCCTCTCCTCATCTTCTTCTTTTCCTGTTCTTTTCCTCTTCTCCTTCTTCTCTTCCCCTTCTTTTCCTTCTCCTCTTCTCCTTCTTTTCCCTTTCTTTTTTCTCTCCTCCCCCTCCTCCTTGTCTTCTCCTCCTCCTCCTCCTTCACTTTTTAAATGAACCAGGAAGCCCTTACTTTGAATCCTGACCTGTCTCATTCGTGATGTAGCTTTGAGCATACTTTGCCGATGCCTCTCTGGACTTGGCCAACCTTACAGGGTTGTTGTCAGGATTGCACCAAAAAGATGGGAATAGATTTAGGTCCCCACCTACACTGCCATGGGATCCAGTTCAATGTAGTTAATCCACATTCTGAAACTGGATTATAGGGCAGTGTTGATGAGGCCACAGTCATAGTTCGAGTAGAAACTGTGGGATTCAGTAAAGCCTACCTTTCCCTAGAAATCCACGAAGCCCAATTGATTTATTGGGATGTTCATCTTCACCAAGCATGAGAAAACTTCGCCCCTCCAAGTGTTGTGGACTACAACTCCCATAATTCCTAACAGCCGGTAGGCTGTTAGGAATTATGGGAGTTGTAGTCCACAACACTTGGAGGGGCGAAGTTTGCCCATGTCTGATCTACATTGTAGAACTAATGCAGTTAGGCATCACTTGAAAGTCTCAGTGTTATGGAAATTTAGGGAGTTGTAGTTTGACAAGTCCTTTCTCTGCTAAAGAGGGCTGATGCCTCAGTCTCCCTAGCACTGAGCCGTGGCACCAAACTGGATTAACCCTACAGTGTAGTCCTATCCCACGTAATAATCCAAGCCAAGCTGATTTAAACATTTGGCATTTTCAGGGTCATCCTTTGTCCTAACCCAGTTCCCCTTCCTTTTCCAGCTTCCCCATCATGGATGTTTTCTATAGCAGCGGAGTCTGGTTTGCAGAGCTGCTTCAGAGAAGTTTTCCGGGACTGGAGGCCTTTTGGCTTTGGATGACCTTCTTAGGTGACCCTAGATGCGTTTTCATCATTTATTTCCCTCTTGCTTATTTCCTGCTGGACCAGAAGGTTGGAGTGAAAGTGCTTTGGCTGGGCTTAATCTCCGAGTGGCTCAATTTAGTCTTCAAATGGTGAGAGGAAAACAATTGTCTCTAAACTATTTGCTTTATCATTGTAGAACAGAAGCTTGCCTGGGATAGTTTGAGGAAGGGCAGCTGATGATAGTATTTGTTTGTTTATTTGTGACTCAGAAATTTCTCTTTCATCCAGGCCAAAATCGATACATAATTCTGAAACATTTTGTTGTTCTGGGATTATATTTTGTATATCTCTGCTAGTGGAGCTTAGGCCCAGTTATGACAAATTCAAACTCTTTACAATACAGAACTACACATTTTCCAGAAGTACAATTTTGGAAGAGTAAAGTGAGTAGATCAATAGGTACCGCTCCGGCAGGAAGGTAACGGCGTTCCATGCAGTCATGCCGGCCACATGACCTTGGAGGTGAACTACAACTCCCAAACTCAAGGTCAATGCCCACCAAACCCTTCTAGTGTTTTCTGTTGGTCATGGGAGTCCTGTGTGCCATGCTTGGTTCAATTCCATCATTGGTGGAGTTCAGAATGCTCTTTGATTGTAGGTGAACTATAAATCCCAGCAACTACAACTCCCAAATGATAAGATCAATTTTTTGAGTGATGGTCATTCCTTGGGTTAGTAGGTATCTTGTGGCCAAATTTGGCGGCAATTCGTCCAGCGTTTTTTGAGTTATGTTAATCCCACAAACGAACACTACATTTTTATTTATATAGATTATCAGTATTACATTCTAATATCAATATATGTATATATAATATATTATTAGCACAATATTAGAATTATATATTAGTATATTGTACTATACCACTGTACTCCAATATTATTAGTAATAATACATGTAATATATAATTATTATATCATTATTACATATTTTATATCATACTATATTATTATACCACAATATATATAATACACTAGTAAAAGTTTCCCCCAGTGGTGCAGTGGGTTAAGCCACTGAGCTGCTGGACCAAAAGGTCGCCGGTTCAAATCCAGGGAGCGCGGTGAGTTCCTCCTGTTAGGCCCAGCTTCTGCCAACCTAGCAGTTTGAAAACATGCAAATGTGAGTAGATCAATAGGTACCGCTCCGGCGGGAAGGTAACGGTGCTCCATGCAGTCATGCCAGCTCTTTGGCTTAGAAATGGAGATGAATACCACACTCCAGAGTCAGACACGACTGGACTTAATATCAGGGGGAAACCTTTACCTTTACTTAGTTTGAGTAAGGCTTGACACAGTATTATCTTCAGGATGTCATGAGAAATTAAAATGGCAGCTGCTGTATAAACTTCTCACAATACTCTGGTGTGCCGTTGTGGGAAATTAAAATGTCAGCCACCTAGGGGTGATTACAGTGCTAGTACCGGTTTAATTTAATTAGTTTAATTGCTTCATTCAATTTCTGTGGAGCATTGCATGCCCTTGAATTTAAGTATATCAGTATTTGTGCCTCATAAATGTGTGTGTGTGTGTGTCATGGAGGCAACAATCTTCAAGGGTTACTGTCCTCCTTGATTTTGATCTCGCTTTTGCTTGGAGTTTTGTAATAGTTTATATCCTGCCATACAATTCTTGGGGCTTTTCTAGGTAGCTCACACTATAATTATGTACAGAATAATAACACAACCTTTCAAGCATGGCAAGATGAGAAGTAAAAGCAAAAAAGGAAGAAGATGCAATTGCCTTAAGCAGAAGATAACATGGCACATAAACTTAACACTCAGAAAACTCATAAAGCACCGAATTGGATGTTTCCTCATTATCACTTCTCCATTCCCCAGGTTTCTATTCGGTGAACGGCCCTTCTGGTGGATGTTTGAATCTGGGTTTTCCAAGAAGGGGGTAGACTTTCCCCGCCAGTTCCCTTCAAGCTGTGAAACAGGACCAGGTTGGTAAAGATACAGAATGAGGGACTTCTGGCTCAAGAGCAGGACATGTGAAAAAGATCTTGGAGTGCTTGTGGACAACAAGTTAAACATGAGCCAACAATGTGATTCTGCAGCTAAAAAAACCAATGGGATTTTGGCCTACATAAATAGGAGTCTAGTGTCTAGATCAAGGGAAGTAATGCTACCCCTCTATTCCGCCTTGGTTAGACCACACCTGGAATACTGTGTCCAATTCTGGGCGCCACATTTGAAGAGAGATATCGACAAACTGGAATGTGTCCAGAGGAGGGCGACTTAAATTATCAAGGGTCTGGAGAAGAAGCCCTATGAGGAGTGGCTTAAAGAGCTGGGCATGTTTAGCCTGCAGAAGAGAAGGCTGAGAGGAGACATGATAGCCATGTATAAATATGTGAGAGGAAGCCATAGGGAGGAGGGAGCAAGCTTCTTTTCTGCTGCCCTAGAGACTAGGACGTGGAGCAATGGCTTCAAACTACAAGAAAGGAGATTCCACCTGAACATTAGGAAGAACTTCCTGACTGTGAGAGCCGTTCAGCAGTGGAACTCTCTGCCCCGGAGTGTGGTGGAGGCTCCTTCTTTGGAAGCTTTTAAACAGAGGCTGGGTGGCCATCTGTCAGGGGTGATTTGAATGCAATATTCCTGCTTCTTGGCAGGGGGTTGGACTGGATGGCCCATGACAGGCCCGTAGCCAGGATTTCGTTTCAGGGGGGGGGCTAACTGAGTTTCGGGGGGGGGGGCTGAGTCTGAGTGAAAGAGGGTCTACCCTAGCAAACCTTTTGTATCATTACCCCAATACCCCCATGCATATGGGATATATTGAGTATGGTGATCAGATCATGATAGGAATAAACATAACAGTTTAAATAATGCACCAGTAAGGCCTTTTCGCGAACCACCATGAGAATTTCGGGGGGGGGCTGAAGCCCCTCAAGCCCCCCCCCCCCCGGCTACATGCCGGACGAGGTCTCATCCAACTCTATGATTCTATGTAACGCAAGATAAGATTTGATATATTGCTTTGGGTTTTGTGATTCAGGGATGAGTGGAGCAGCCCCAGGACCCTTAATTCTTGATGCGTGGTTCTCAATTTGGAGACACAGCCATGAAGTCCACAATCTAGTAGCTATGACTAGGGACAGCAATACCTGGATTGTTGAGACATGCAATCAGTGATCGAATGGTGGACTCTGAAAGGTGGGCTTCTCGTTGTCCTACTCTCTATTGCAACAACCAAAGGGGAGATCAAAAATGCAGGTCTCTATCCTGATCTATGTTGAATAAATCTAAACATTTCTTGGCATTTATCATCTTTATTACCATCTGTCACAAGTGGGACAGGATGATGAAGATGCACATGGCTCTATGTTAGATATCTGTCAAGGTCCACATCAAAGCATCTTGCAGATACTCTTCCTCCTTGCTATTGCTGCTATTCATTTGTTCTCTGCAAAGCAACTGAGCCATGAGAAAGATAAATAAAGGAACAGGAAGCCCCACCTGCCTCTGTCCTTTCAAACCTTATTTCCACTGAGAGTATTAGAAATATGAGGAAATCCTGCCGTTCAAAAATAAATGCTTAATTCTTAATTCTGGGCTCCCAAGTCTTGTTTCCCCCCCAAACTTCTTGCAGAGATCACATTTCTAATGGACCTGAGATCTTTATGTTCCCGATTGTGGGAATCCACGAGTACAGTTGATCATTCCTTATCTGAAATTCTGAAATACTCCAACATTGTCTACATCAGAGGTTAAGATAGTGATGCCATTGCTTTCTGATGGTTCAATGAACACCAGCTTTGTTTCATGCTCAAATTTCTACAAATATTGTGCATAAAATTGCTTTTAGGCTATGTGTATGGAAAACAATTGTACATATTGTACATCTCCAAGATGGCATATTTTACAGGTACAGTAGAGTCTCGCTTATCCAACATAAACGGACCGGCAGAATGTTGGATAAGTGAAAATGCTGGATAATAAGGAGGGATTAAGGAAAACCCTTTTAAATGTCAAATTACGTTACGATTTTATAAGTTAAGCACCAAAATATCATTTTTACAACAAATTGAAAGAAAAAGGAGTACAATACACGGTGACGTTATGTAGTAATTACTGTATTTACGAATTTAACACCAAAACATCACAATGTATTGAAACAGCTGTGAATCCGGGCGGGAGGCAGACTGCGTTGGATGAGCAAAGGTTGGATAAGTGAAACTCTACTGCAGGAGTCCTCAAACTTTTTAAACAGAGGGCCAGGTCACAGTCCCTCAAACTGTTGGAAGGGCAGATTATAATTTGAAAAAACCATGAATGAATTCCCATGCACACTGGACATATCTTATTTGTAGTCCAAAAAACACTTAAAAACAATACGATAATTAAAATGAAGAACAATTTTAACAAATATAAACTTATTAGTATTTTAGTGGGAAGCGTGGGCCTGCTATTGGCTGATGAGATAGAATTGTTGTTGTTGTGTGCTTTCAAGTCGTTTCAGACTTATGTTGACCCTGAGCGAGGGCCGGGTAAAGGACCTTGGAGGGCTGTATCTGGCTCCCAGGCCTTAGTTTGAGGACCCCTACTCTACTGTATTCAAAAATCTGAAAAAATCCAAACTTCAAAACACATTTTGGTCTCAGGCATTTTTGATGAGAGATGCTATTTATTTATTTATTTATTTATCGTGTCAGAGCAACCAGTCCATTATATATTACATTTCTAACAGAACAACGCAAACAGACAGAAAAATACACATCTTGTGAGTTTGGTAGTTGGTTAAATGTCCTTTGACCAGTATCTGGCCACGTGGAGTGCTTCCGGTGTTGCTGCAAGAAGGTCCTCCATGGTGCATGTGGCAGGGCTCAGGTTGCATTGCAGCAGGTGGTCAGTGGTTTGCTTTTCTCCACACTCGCATGCCGAGGATTCCACTTTGTAGATGCTCAATCTGTACCTTCACTTTATCCCTTTGTCAATCAGTGTTTCTGTTTATACTACACTAGGGCTGGGGAGGCCCTGATAGTGCAGTGGGTTAAACCGCTGAGCTGCTGAACTTGCTGACTGAAAGGTTGGCGGTTCAAATCCCGGGAACAGGGTGAGCTCCTGCTGTTAGGCCCAGCTCCTGCCAACCTAGCAGATTGAAAACATGCAAATGTCAGTAGATCAATATGTACCGCTTTGGTGGGAAGGTAACGGTTCCTTGTCTTTTTGTGGATTCTCTTTTGAGACAGCACTATGGGAAGTGTTGTGGAAAATCTCAGCATGTATCCCTCTAGCACTGTACCTAACCAGGCCTTCTGACCCTGCATCACATCCATGACCTGTCTATCTGTCGAGCCTGTTGAGGAATGGGGGTCTGAACTGATATGTCTTGTAACTGATTCCCATCAGAAGGGCAAGTGGGTTTACAGTCTTTTGCCATCTGAGATGTCTTTTGGGAGCTTGTTACTATTTTCAGGACTCCCTGGTGGTGCAGCAGGTTAAACCGCTGCACTGCTGAACTTGCTGACCGAAAAGTTAGTTATTCGAATACACAGAGCAGAGTATGCTCCTGCTGTTAGGCCCAGCTTCTGCCAACCTAGCAGTTCGAAAACATGCAAATGGGAGTAGATCAATAGGTACCACTTTGTCTGGAAGGGAACGGCGCTCCATGCTGTCATGCCGGCCACATGACCTTGGGGGCATCAATGGGCAACGCTGCCTCTTTGGCTTAGAAATGGAGATGAGCTCCACCCCCAGAGTCAGACTCTACTAGACTTAAAGTCAAGGGCAAACCTTAACCTTTACCTAGGGCTGGGGAGCCTTTGGCTTGCCTGGTATTTGTGTTGTAGCCCCCATAACCCCTTTCCATTGGCTGTGATGGAAGGGATTGGGGGCTATGAGTCTAAAGACTTGGAGGATCAAAGGTTCCTCACATTTGTTGTACATGGTAGGATGTGAATCAGGTGGTTTGTATCATAAGAAAGGGAATTTCAGCTAAAATACTCAACATCTGTTTGATAGTGGAACAGACTGCTGAAAGCAGTGACAGACTTCCCTTACTTAGAGGCTTTTCAGCCAAAGGTGGATGGCTACCACCAGGTAGGAATGCTATAGCTGTGAATTTCCTGTGCCGAAAAGAGGAAGAAATCAATGGCCTTTGAAGTTTCTTTCAACTCCATGGAAACAGATACCGTTGTTATAGATTCCCTGCCTGGCACACAGGCCTCACTTGACAGAGCAGAGAGATATGATTTCTCTCTATAGCCGCAGTGCTGAAATAGTGGCCCATTAATGATTCCACTCACTTTTCGAGGGTTTGGGGGAGAGGGGTCACTTTCCCCTCCTGGAAGCCTCTTTTACACAAATCTTTGCTTAAAATCACCCCATGAGCCTGGAAGTTTCAAATCAAAATAACTTCTTGTGACTCCTGGCATGGCTGGGCATGAGGTTGTGGGCTTTAAAAATTGTCCCTGTTTTTCCCGCAGTTGCCCAGCCTTCCTCTAAAGGCTGCAATCATCCCAAACCCAAATCTGCCATTAAGTAGCGTGAGGAGGTTGATTGTGAGCCTTGATTCAACTCTGCCAGGTGGATCCTTTAGCACAGTGGTTCTAACCCTTCCTAATGCTGCGATCCCTCAATACAGTTCCTCATGTTGTGGTGACCCCCAACCATAAAATTATTTTGGTTTCTACTTCATAACTGTAATTTTGCTATGGTTATGAATCGTAATGTAAATATCTGATATGCAGGATGTATTTTCATTCACTGAACCAAATTTGGCACAATTATCCAATATGCCCAAATTCGAATACTGGTGGGGTTGAGTGGGATTGAATTTGTTATTTGGGAGTTGTAGTTGCTGGGATTTATAATTAATCTTCAATCAAAGAGCATGCCGAACTCCACCAATGATGGAATTGAACCAAACTTGGCACACAGAACTCCCACGACCAACAGAAAATACTGGAAGGGTTTGGTGGACATTGACCTTGAGTTTTGG